CAGGTAGCAGTTCAAGCACTTGCTTTCCTGTCTCCCACATGAGTGACCTGGATTGAGTTCCAGGCTCAACTTTGGTCTTGTCCATTTTCAGTTGTTGCATGCATTTGGGGAGTGAACTAGCAGATGGAAGATTTCTCCCTGACTCCCTATCTCCAGCTGTCAAAAAGAAAAAGAATAAAGTACTCAAATCAATAACCAGACTATACTACAATGAACTAGAAAAAAAGAAAAGTAAATTGAATCGCAAGCTAATAGAAGGAATGGAATAGTAATTGTCAAAGTAAAAAATAAATGAAACAAAGAATAGTGATATCAATGAAACCAAAAGCTAGTTGTCTGAATATTAACAGAAATGATAGATACTAGCAAAACTAATGAATAATATGCAAATAACTAAAATTAGGAATCAAAGTAGGGGTGCTACTATTGACCATACAGAAATAAAAAGGATTATAGGAGAATATTATGAGCAGTTGAATGCCAACAGATTAGATAACCTAGATGAAATGGACAACCTAAAGACACACAAATTACCTAAACTGCTTCAAGAAAAAATAGAGAACTTTATCACTTGCAGCATATGACAAGACTGAGTCAGTAATCAAAACCTTGCAACAAACAAAAATGTCCATAGGGCTAGTGCCATGGCATAGTAGGTTAAGGCCCTATTTGCGGTGCTGGCATCTTGTGTGGACACCAGATTGAGTTCCAGCTGCTCCACTTCTGATTCAGCCCCTGGGTAAGGTGCCTGGAAAAGCAGCAAAAGATGGTGTGAGTCCCTGGACACCTGCACTTGTACAGGAGATCCTGAAAAAGCTACAGGCTCTTAGCTACGTATCAGCCCAGCTTAGGCTTTGCAGCAATTTGGGGAATGAAACACCAAATGGGAAATCTCTCTCCCTGAATATCTAACTCTGCCTTTTAAATAAAGATAAATAAACCTTAAAAACAATTACAGGATTAGATGGCACCACTGAATTTTACAAAGCATGTAAAGAAGAATTAACCCCAAATCCTTCTCAACTTCCCCAAAAAAATAGAACAGGAGAGAAGGATTCCTGACTCATTCTATGAAACTAATATTATCCTGAAAATAGAAAGATCACAAGAAAATGAAGGACACAAGTACAGATTTTAAAAGTCTCAACAAAATATGAGCAAATATCACATTAAAAGGAATTTAACCAAGTGGAATTTATCCAGAAATGCAGGATGTTCAAAGTAAGGAAGTGAATAATTGTAGTATCACACACTGATTGGAACAATGGGAGGAAAAATTAGCTAAGCACCATTGGTACAGGAAGGACATTTGACAAAATCCAACGCCCTTCCATGTATTAAAAACTCCCAGAAAAGGCATTTGTGGGGGGCCCATTATAATGGCTCACCCCATATGGGCACCAGTCTATGTTCCGGCTGCTCCATTTCCCATCCAGCTCCCTGCTTGTGGCTTGGGAAAGCAGTAGAGGATGGCCCAAAGCCTTGGGACCCTGTAGGACCCAAGTAGGAGACCTGGAAGAAGCTCTTGGCTTCTGGATTTGGATCAGCTCAGCTCTGGCCATTGCAAGCCACTTGGGAAGTGAATCAGTGGATGGAAGATCTTTCCCTTTGTCTCTCTTTCTTTCTGTAAATCAGTAAATCTTAAGAAAAAAAAAGGTGTCTGTGAAAACCTCGTGGCTAACATTATGCACAATGGTGGAGGACAAAATGCTGTCCTGTTAAATCATAAAGGAGACAGGATACCCTCACTCACGAGCACTACTTTTTGGCATTTTACTAGAAGTTCTAGTAAGACCAACTTATAAGAGAAACGAAACAAAATTGAATTTGAAAGGAAGAAGCAAAACTATCTCTACTAACAGATCCCACAATTCTTTATTTAGAGAATATCAAAGAATATATAAGAATTATCTATTAAAATTTCTTGTTTATTTAATTTGAAAAGACAAAGACAGATAGAGCTGTCAACTGTTGGTTCACTCCCTAAATGCTTTAGCAGCTGGAGCTGAGCCAGGCCAAAGCTGGGCGAGGAGCTCAGTCCAGATCTCCCATATGGGTAGCAGGAACCAGAGTTCTTGATCCATCTCTTGTTATCTCTCTGGGAGAACTTTAGCAGGAGTTGAAAGCAGAACTCAGACTTGAATCCAGTCACTTCAGCTTGGGATGTGGGCAGAGTGGCGTCTTAACTTCTAAGCCAAATGTCTGCCCCAAGGTTAAGTTTTTGGAGACATGAGGCAAGTGATAAAATCCAAAGTCAAATTCAAATTCCTGTAACAACAGGTCCCAGTAATAATGAACTCCTGGTACTGACATTAAGTGCTAGTTCAAGTCTCAGCTACTCCAGTTCTGATCCAGCCCCTGCTAACATGCCTAGGAAAACCCTTTCTTTATTATTATTATTTTTTAAAGATTTATTTTATTTTTATTTGGAAGGCAGAGTTGCAGAGAGATAAAGAGATCAAAGGGAGATCTTCCAAACGTCAGTCTCTCTGTCTCTCTGTGATAACTGTCTCCCTCTGCACTTTTATAGATATCAGATCCTGTTTAAAGCAATGAAATGATGATCATTTTCTGTCCCTTTTAGCTATCTACTGTTCTGTAATCTGGATTTTCTTTTCTTTTTTTAGATGTATTTATTTTTACTGGAAATGCAGATTTACAGAGAGAAAGCGATACAGAGAGAAAAACCTTCCATCCACTGGTTCACTCCCCAAGTGGCCATAACGCGTGGAGCTGAGCTGATTTGAAGCTGGAAGACAGGAGCCAGGAGCCAGGAGCTTCCTCTGAGTCTCTCACACGGGTGCAGGGACCCAAGGACTTGGACCATTCTTCACTGCTTTCCCAGGCCACAAACAGGGAGCTGGATGGGAAACAGAGCAGCAGGGACATGAACCAGCGCCAATATCGGATCCTAGCTTGTGCAAGGCAAGGACTTTAGCCACTAGGCTACCATGCTGGACCCTGTAATTTGGATTTACAAAGTTACTTCTTTAGGCCTGCCTTTCACATTAGTTCAAACTGCAGAAATGTTAAGAAAACAAAATCCACTGCTTAATTCACTGCAGGCCTTGCAGAGAGTCCTCTGTATCCTGCTGTGCATTGTGACACCCCAGAAAAGGAAACACGTTGCCTATGCAACCCCTTCCAAAGAACCTCCAATAATCCTTCCTATGCTTCAATTCTTACATCTTCAAATAAAATCTTCCCATCCTTCACTAAACCATTTCCTCGTGGACAACTGCTGACTCACTGCTGGATTGCAAACTCTTCGAGGGCAGATACCCTCTTTTTTTGAAGTACTACCTGACCTCATCGGTATATTGAGACCCTCGGATCCTGCAGTCTCTCTTGGGTCTTGGACTGAGCACACTGGATACCACTGAAAGTTTATGCATGCCACATTCACACTAAGCAATCCAATGTAGCCTCTGGGATCTTACTTTTGGTCGCATATATCCTGTTTTAGTCCACGGCTCTCAGTGCATTCTCTAATGCACCATTAGAGATGAAAAGATGAGTACGACCTAGTTATGTCTCTCCGAAGCACGTATCTAGTGGACAAGCAAAGTCAAACGCATGAATAATTCAAACAGAAAACAGTCCAATATTAAACACAAGATTCAGACTGCCCTTACGGTTCAAAGGAGAAATGATTGGGCAGGTGGCAGAGAGGGGCAACTGGGAAGAATCAGCGAGAAAAGAAAAATCTCAGACCACGCACAGGTAAAGGAAACAGCATATTCAAGGTGTGAAGGTAGGAACAAGGAGGCAAGTTCAAGCGGCTTTGCTTTGGCAGACACATGTGGTGTGCACAGGATGTTACAGATGAGTACAGCATAACAATAAACTCAGAAACCATAGCTTGAACACCAGTGAGGGCTTGTCCACAGGGAGCCATTGAAGCAAGTTAGAGTGGGAGGAGTGATGGGGGAGCAGTTGTTGCAAGAGAGAGAGAGAGAGAGAGAGAGAGAGAGAAAGCTTTCATAGGCTCCAGTTCTCCAGTTGCTTTGATTGGCCCTGTCCAGCACGCCCTGGTTTAAAATTTCCACCCAGGAATCAAACTTGGCAGTCTCTTGAGGAGCCCCCAGGGCTGTTCTGAGAGCTGTTTAAAACAGGACAGATAGCAGGGCCCTGGATCCTAGTCACTGTGCACTCACTGTGTGCACTGCGCCTGAATGTTACAGCAAGGGTGTTCAAGGGGCAGGGGACCAAGAGGAGGTCTTGGTGGAGTTAGTGATGACTCCCTAGGTGAGATGGCCGCAGTTAGTCAACTGCAAGTGACGAAGTCAGGCAATAGGCCTTGGCTTTCGAGGCAGCCCAAGACGAAAACCGGAGCTGGTTGTGCAAAGACCAGGGAACCCCAAACAGAGGAGTAGTGTGAAGCCACCCAACCGGTCCCCCAAACCTCTATTCCTCCAGGCACAACGTGGAGAGGACTGCACACTGCTGAGGTGAACCTGGGGGAGCTGTGCGTGTGTTTGAAGATGCTGATGTGGTCTGTGACTTCGAGGTCACTGGGGGTAACCAAGAGGGGAGAGGAAAGTAACCCAGGCTTGGGTAGACACTGCAGGTCTGAATCAGCCGGCCCCTGCAGGGGATCAGTAAAGGAGAACCAGCAAAGTCTCAGCTTTGTGCTGTCACCAGGCTATGGAAGACCGGCGCATGTTTCCACCGGAGGCCTAGGACCCCTGAGGGGCGTCTCGCCGAGCGCCCGCACCCGCGCGGCGCACGGCCTTCCCCGGGCGGGCAGGGTGGAGCCTCGGCCTTGGGACCCGGCGGCCGCGGGAGCTCGGGTCGCTCTTCCCCCTGGCAGGTGCGCGTGCTGGCAAAGGCAGGAAGAGGAGGGAGGCGCCCGCCATGCGGGGCCCGCTGCTCCCCGCCTCGGCCTCCCGCCCGCCGCCCCCGCGGCACGGCCAGCCGCAGCCCCTGTGAGGAGGAAGAGGCGGCAGCGACGGCGGTGAACGAGGCGCCGCCCCCTCGGCGAGCTCGGCGACCTGGCGGCCCCGGCAGGACCCATGGCGGATCCCACGGCCGCATCATCCCTGCGGGAAGGCGGCTCCCGCGCGCCACGGGCCTCGGCGCCCTCGCCGCCGCCACCGCCGCGTTCGCACTCGGGCTCCGAGTCGGAGGAGGCCGAGCTATCGCTGAGCCTGGCCCGCACCAAGACCCGCTCGTACGGCAGCACGGCCAGCGTGCGGGCGCCGCTGGGCGCCGGCGTCCTCGAGCGCCTCGTGGAACACCGGGTTCGCGCCGGTGACACGCTGCAGGGCATCGCGCTCAAGTACGGAGTCACGGTGAGCAGAGCGCGAGGGCGGCTCCGGGGCTGGGGCGGCCCCCGGGGTGTCCGGGCAGCTGTCCGGCTGTGGCTGCACGGGCCCCAAGCGCTGGCTCGCTGCGCCCGGGTCCTCCCGCAGCCAGAGGGCTGGGCCGCCAGGGCTCGCTTCCCAGGTAGCGCTGCATCGAGTTTCCCAGGCCCTGCCACAGCTCAGACTTGCATATGTGACAGGGAGGGAGGCCGAAGAGCATGAGGCAACCCCCGGTATTCTCACCCTCGCCTACCTGGTTTGCTGTCCCTACCATAGCATCGTGGATTTACTCAGAGCCAAAGGGCGGCTAATTTTGTTCTAAAGAGAAGCAAGCTATGTGACAAGTCAGGAAGGGCACCGCTGCCCCCCTAGTCGATGGTCTGGTGCCATCGATTCCACGTCTTCATTTAGAAGTGAAATTACACCCGTGAATGTGACACCTGTCGCTAAGCAGCAGCCAGGAACTGTGTTCCAGGTGAGCTGGAAGGCCGTGTTTATTACAAATTGATAAGTGTCTGGGTCTTGGGGCTATTTTCTTTCACCTCTGGGAAGGCATGGAAACCCAGAGGAATGCAATTGTTTCCTTAAAAATGACTTATAATTAACTCTGAGCTGTGGGATGGCCTTCTTAAAGCTGGGGCTGTGGATCAATTATTAGGGTTCTTTCCCGAAGCACCTTAGTCTGCAATGGGAAGAAAGATGGTCTTATCTACATCTTGCTCTTAAAGTGAAACTCCTGCTGGCGCTTTACCCTGGGATGGAGAGGAGAGCAGATGCAAGCTGTTTTGCATACTGAGCAGGTCCACATTTACCCCTCTCTGGCTCTTTGGTCATGTAAGCATTTTGAGAGCAAGGGCCTCACAGCTGCCAGGCCCCTTCCCCTTTGAATGACTGTGTGATCCTTAGTTCTCCCTGTGCGCCAGGGTGGGGTGAGGAGTGGAGGGGAGCAGGCTTGGGCTGGAGCTCAGGAGAGCAGAGACTGGGAACTATCCCCAGCTCCCCTCTGCTGAATGCTGCCGAGTGCCGGGTGCTGCCGTGGTCCCTTTCCGCTTCATCTTCTCTGATGTGACTTTCACAGTTATCCTGGGAGTTGGGTGTCATGAGTCTCCTTGGGACAGATGAGAGAGGTCAGAACACTTCCCAAGAATGATGAGTATTCATTGGGACCAGCATGAATCAGCACAGCAGTAAAATGTTTGCATTTCTCTAGATGTTACTTACAATAGCCTTTTTTGAGGTTAGTCTTCTCAAGAGCCCTTTCAGCATCCTAGCTACTGCAAAAGGAAGGCTTTTTGCTACGTGGCTCCTATGCACCTGACATCCTGGCTGAGGAGTCTGTGGTATCCAGGGGAGTGTTCCTGCTCCAGGGCTCTTGCCATAGCAGTCTGTCTGTATGTGGCTCATTGCCCACTGCATGTCTGATATCTGGCCTGTTCCTCATAACATTATCATCGTTTTCCTTTAAGTGCCAGTCAGTGTGTTCAGGAGTTTTTTTACGACTTTTGATTTAAAGATGTCCACTTGAGCCTGATGAGGTAGCCTAGTGCCTTGGGTCCTCATCGTGCATACACTGGGATCCTAAATGGGCACCAGTTCATGTCCTGGCTGTTCCACTTCCTATCCAGCTCCCTGCTTGTGGCCTGGGAAGGCAGTTGAGGATGGCCCAAAGTCTTGGAACCTTGCACACGCATGGGAGACCTGGAGAAAGCTCCTGGTTCCTGGCTTCAGATCGGCTCAGCTCCGGCCGTTGCAGCCGCTTGGGGAGTGGTCCAGTGGATGGAAGATTTTCCTCTCTGTCTCTCCTTTGCTCTGTAAATCTGACTTTCCAATAAAAACAAGTGAATCTTAAAAAAAAAAAAAAGATGTCTACTCAAGTATGATAAATGGGGCATCAGAGTCTGTAATGACCAGGGTCTCTCACTGTTGGTTTCACAAAGAGGATCATTCTTGGCTGTGGAAAGTTGCCCTGTGCCTTGGAGCATCTCTGACTTCTGCTGCTTCCAGACATTGCCAGGAGTGCCTCAACGGCAAACTCGCCGCTGGCCAGGAACCACTGGGTTACTGCATACATGTGTCATTGCTTGGGGTCCTGGACTGGAGTGGATGGAATTGTTGGACACTCCTCCACCAGTTACACACAGCGGGGGAAGTGAGACTACTGGAGCAATGAAGTGATATTGATGTTTTAGCTAGTATCGGTAGGTACAAGTTGGTTTTACTCATTGTAAATGAGATTTTAGGTAGACATAAAAAAGGCAGGAAAGTGTTTTTTTTTTCCATGACTGAACAAAGAAGTTGAGCAAGTTAAGATTTTTATATTCACAGCCGAGATCACTTACAACACCTTTTGGAATGATCTTTTAAAAAAAGATTTATTTATTTTTATTTGAAAGGCAGATTTTCAGAGAGGGAGAGAAGGAGAGAGAGAGATGGAGACTATTTCTCATCATCTGGTTTATTTCCCATATGGCTGCAATAGCTTGAGCTGGGTGCAAAGCCAGATGCCTGAAGCTTCCTCTAGGTCCCCTACATGGGTGCATGGGCCCAAACATTGGACCATCCTCTATTGCTTTCCTAAGCACATTAGCAGGGAAGATTGGGAGCGGAGCAGCTGGGATTCAAATTGGTGCCCATATGGGATGCTGGCACTGTAAACAGAGGCTTAACCTATGCCACAGAGCAGGGCACAACATCTTTAAATAGATTTGATGAGATGTTGGAAGGGCATAGAGACCCAAGGCAGTGCATCTGAAAATTAAGTCCATGCCAGTGAGCAGTTGGCCTTATCCTTTTGTACTGGCATGAAGAGCACAGCTCTGCAGTCAGCTTGGAGGAGGGACCCTTCTGCTGATGGCCATCCCTTAGCCACACAGCTGGGAGATCAGGCGGGACTCAGGCCCCACGTTGCGAGCCTGGGAATTGCTGGTAGTACTCGAGGTTTTTGCACCCTCTAACAAGGGTTGGAGATAGAGAACCAATGGCCAGGCAGGGTTACCAAGAGCATGGGTTGGAAACCAGCACCACTCAGGGGCTGGCATCAATATGCATCTTGGGTTGTGGAAATATATGGGTATTTCTCAAACTTGCGTTCACAAGAGAGGAAGGATGTGGGGCAGACTCTGGATGAGCGAAGATCCCAGCTGGCTTTGTGCTCATGGGAACAAAGTACCCAGAAAAGGAGTACTGGGATCTCTGTTGAACAAGCATGGTCACTTGGCTCGCTCCCAGAACCTTGTTCCACATACATGGGAGCTCATGTGCGCGTGTGTGTGTGTGTGTGTGTGTGTGTGTGATGTGTTGGTATAATGCTTGCTTGTTTGCTTGGTGTAATGATTGCTTGCTGTCAATCATTGGTGAAGAAGGACCCTGCAGTTTCATTTTTTCCTAGGGCCCCAGGCAAATGATAAAGGGTTAGTCATGGCTGTGTCTGCTGCCTCAGCCTCCCCCCACCCCCGTCCCTTGCCTTCAGGTCTTTGCTCTCGTGTCTCCTCTGAGGCCTTTTCTGAGTTGGTATGTCACATCGCACCCTGTCACCTTCCCCAGCACTCTTCCCCAGCTGTCTCAGTCATTCCTGCAGTTTTTCTGTTTTCTGGCTCTGCCTTTCAGGTGCTGTATTAGTGAGTCAGTAAGAATCTGTGCCCTTGGGGGATTGTATTTTAGTGGAGACAGCCAGTCAACAAATATATCAAATATTGATAAAGGGAATAAAAAAAGAAATTAAGCCAGGAAGGACTATAGGGAGGAAGGGGGAGGGTTGACTATAGTTACAAAAGGTGCGACCAGGCCAGGCTTCCCTGAGAAGGAGTGGGCGAGCACTGTGCAGACACCCTGGATGGAACATCACAGGTGGCAGATCGGCCAGTGCTGCAGAGGCCCAGAGTGGAAGCGTTAGCAAGGCCTTGCAGGGGGAGTGCAGCTGGTGCTTAGCATATGGTGGGAGTATGGTAAGACAGGATCATTTAGGGCTTTGAAGGTTGTTGTAAGAACTTGGGCTTCCCCCCAACCCCCCAATTTGGAACACACTGGAGGGTGTACATGATCTGACTCATGCATTAGAAAGGTTCACTCCTGGGAGGGGTGTTTGGCCTAGTGATGACCAGCCCTGTGTCCCACATCAGAATGCCTGAGTTTAATTCCCAGCTCTGGCCCCTGGCCTCAGCCCCCATACTAATGCAGACCTCTGGGAAGCAACAAAGACAGCTCAAGTAAGTGGGTTCTTGCCACGCAGGTGGGACACCTAGATTGAGGATCTGGCTCCTGCATCTGGTCCTGACCTCATCCTGGCGATTGTAGGGGGAATGAATCAGATGAGAACTTTCTCTCTCTCTCTCTCTCTCTCTTCTCAAGAATATATAATATAAAACAAGAGTCTGTCTGCTGCTTTAGGAGTAGGCTGTAGGAGGGCAGGGAAAACAGCCTAGCCTTCTGCAGTAATACAGGTGAGAAGGGAGAGCTGCTTGGACCAGTGGAGGAGAGCGAAGGAAGTGAGGAGGAGCGGCTGGGTCCTGGGTGGTATCCAGGTAGGCTGTTCGTATTGTTTGTTTCAGGATCTCTCTGCCCCTTGAGTTGGGCCGTGGGATACAGGAAGTTCCTTTATAGGAAAGAAAAATGTGGAGGTTCAGGAACTTGAGCAGGCTGACATGTGGTTGGCCTTCCTTCTTCTGCCAGTCACTTAGAACATAGCTTTATGACCCTTCCCCACATGAAAAACAAGAGTTGATGTTCAATATTTGTGTACCTGCTTTGATTGAGACCTGGTTTGTTTGAGATGCTGGGGCTGCAGCTAGCCTGGACTGTCCTCTTGTTGTTGAGTGTTTAGAAGCCAGGGAGCTTTATCTTCCATACCTGACCTGGTGTCTGGTGGGTCCTTCACCAACGTGTGGGTCAAATTCATAAGAAAGTGTGACTGATTTGAAACCATATGCCTCGGAATTAAGCATACCCTGGCAGATGGGGCCCAGGGAAGGGCTGAGAGAGGAGGTACAGCCTACTAAAGACTTGATCTTCAAGAAGGGCCTCGTGTTGCTCTTGCTGGAGCTGGGTGTTGCTTTTTCCTCCTCCACCAGTAATGGGGTCCTCACTGAGCACATGCAAATTTAGCTCCCCTCCCCGCCCAGAGTGCAAGGCATTTGAGGAAGTGAGTCTGGGAAACTGAAACTATTTTAGCTGGGTTGAGAAATTATTAAACAAATATGGTTCAGACCTCAGACATAAACCTGTTTGGGCTGGAATTTCCCTGATGAGTTTCCCTGGGTGTGTTTATTATGCCCTTTGAGACTTGGAGGCCCTGTCCTTAACCCTGAACTCCAGATTTGGCTGCTGCTTTTTCAGGACCCTGGCTCCTCCCAGTTGGAGTCAATCCTCTGCAGGAAATGGACCTGGCTTGTTTGCATTGTTTGGCAACCCTTGAAAAACCTACAGGAGAACAGTGTGGAAACTGAAAGTGGGAAGGAGACAGTATGCCTGGCCCTTTTTTTTTTTTTTTTTGCATAAACTTTTTCCTCTGTTGTTGCTAACGTTCCCCTTAACAGGCCTTACCTCCCTTAGAAGAGGGGTGAGATGATTGTCTTGTTAGTCACGTTGTAGTGAAGCTTGTTGACCTTGCTGATCCAAAGCTGGGAAACTGTGTAAATAGTGACACTGGTGGTGAAAACAGTTGTTTGAGAAGCGGAAAGGGAGACACACCGTATGCACATGCGTGTTTCCCCCGTCCCCCGCCACCGACACACAGCACTCTCCCATCCTCTCGTACAGTCTGCCCATAATGGCCAGCACTGGCCTAGGGCAAAGCCAGGAGCTGAGAACACAATCCAGGTATCCCACATGGGTAGCAGAACCCCCAATCACCTAAGCCATCATTTGTTGCTTCCCAGGATTCCAATTGGCAGGAAGCTGGAATCAGAAGTTCAGAATTGGGAGTCAGACCCAGGCACTGCACAGTGGGATGCAAGCATCTTAACTGGGAGGCTGAATGTCCATCCCGATTGGTGTGTATGTGTGTTTTAAGATTTATTCATTTATTAAATATTTATTTATTTATATTTGAAAGACAGTTTACAGAGAGAGGAGAGATAGAGAAGTTCTTCCATCCACTGTTTTATTCTCCAAATGGCTGCAACGGCTGAAGCTGAGCTGATCTGAAGCCAGGAACCAGGAGCTTCTGGATCTCCTACATGGATGCAAGATCCCAAGGACCTGGGCCATCCTCTGTTGCTTTCCCAGGCCGTAAACAGGGAGCTGAATGGGAAGTGGAACATCTGGGATGTGAACCTTATGGATGCTGTCACCACAGGGCAGAGGATTAGTGTGCTGTGCCATTGCAGTGATCCCTTTATTTTTACTTGGAAGTAAGAATTACGCAATAAGAGAGGTAACAGAGATCTCCCATCTGCAATTGGCTGCAGTGGCCAGAGCTGGGCCAAACTGAAGCAGCCAGGACCTCCATCCATTCTGGCCTCCCACAAGGGTTTTGGGACCCCTGCACTTGGGCCCTCATCCTGTGCTTTCCTAGGCACATTAGCAAGCAACTGGATCCAAAGTGGAGCAGCTGGGATTGGAGGCTGGATCCTGCAGGCAGGAACTCATAGATCCCTTCTCGCACCCATTGCAGGACCCCTGGTGGGTTTTCCTGTGCTTCCAACCAGGGTTTCTACAATGCCCTCCTTGGGTTCTGTTGATTTGCCTGAACAGCTCCCAGAATTCAAAGACACACTTGTTTCCCAGTTGATCAAAAAGGATGTTGCAAGGAGTACAGGTGAAAAGAGGCATAAGACAAGGAGGTCTAGGGACAGGGCGTGGAGCTGGCATACCCTCTGCAGACTGGCTGCCCTTCAGGAACCTGCACATATGCAGCCAGCCAGAAGCTCCCAGCTGGTTCCTTTGGGTTTCACTGCAGCCTTCGTTGCACGAGGGAGACCAAAGCAGGAGCAAGCCCACAGATGAGGACTGAAAGCTATTAGGCTGAGGCAATCCAGCAAAGCCTGTCTGTTCAGATTCTTCCTGGTCCCTCCTACATCAGCAGTGGGGCCCTTTGAATTGATCTTCAGATCTGCTGTCAGGTCAGATCTTCTTTAGGACCAGCTCCAAGACAGGGGAAAAAAAAAAAAAGAAAAGGTTATATACCTTGCCTTAGGGAAGAACAATTCTGTAATCTCTGGCTTGTGTTGGTGGAGCAAGTTGCGAGCTGGGAGTCAAGGGACAAAACCCAAATATAATTGCCCTATAATATCACACATAGATTCTCATGTAATTTTTGAAGATAGTTTTATTGAGGGATAATTTCATGCCTCCAAACCATCCATCTGAAGTGTACAATTCAGTGACATTTAGGAAATTTCCAGAGTTGTACAGCCATCACCATGATTTCAGAACAGCTCCGACATCCCAACACCCGAGATCCTGGCATCACCCATGCCCATTCCACTCCTTCACCATCCCCTTCACCAGCCCACAACAACCAGTAGTCCATTCTCACATCTAGAAGCTTGCCTTTTAAAAACGATGTATTTATTTGGAGAAAGTTGGGAGGGGGAGCTTTCATTCCCTGATTTTCCTTAAATGGCCACATTGGCCAGCGCTGGGACAGGCTGACCTCAGGAGCCAGGTTATTCCAGGCCTCCCGGGTGGGTGACAGGGCCCCATGGCCATCCTCTGCTGCTGTGTCCAGCAAGGTGTTGAGTTGGAAGTGGAGCAACTGGGACGTGAACTGGTGCCCATACGGGATGCCAGCGTCTCAGGTAGTGGCTACACCACGGATACCGGCCCCAAATTTGCCTTTTTTGAACTATTTCTGTAAATGGAATCTCATGTACTGTTCTGAGACACTTTTTTTTTTTCCATCAGCTCATGGCAGTGGAAGGTCTCGCTGCCACCAACACATACAGCATAACAGGAAATAGAGGTAGGGGTGAATCTTGAGAGAATCATTTAACATTTAAGTCTGTTTTCTGTAAAATGATAATCAAATGCAAATTTTACATATATATACAAGGATCTTTTGGAAGACACACAGTGCTGTATAAATATCAGTTATTGTATATCCTGAAAGGTTTTTGGAATGGATCTTTTTTTTTTTTGCTTGTTTGTTTGTTTGTTTTGTTTTTAATGAAGAGAGAGCCAGGAAAATGAACTTTGGTCTCTGATTTCCACTGTTAGTTAGGTAAACTGACGCTATGGGCTCAGTGTTTTTTTGGACAGAGTTCCTGGCCACAGCTACCAGCAGGAAGTGAAGGTGCCCTGTAGAGGAAGTTTTGTGATTTCCCTCCAAAGTAAATTCATTTTGATAAGCTGTTTTAAAGATACTGATGACTGTTTCTCTCTTTTCTTATTTATTTGAAAGGCAGAATTAGAGAGAGAGAGAGAGAGAGATAGTGAGACCAAGAGAGACAGATGTTCCATTCACTGGTTCACTCCCAAAGTGTTTCGAAGCAGCAGGGCAGGGCCAGGTAAAAGCCAGGAGTCAGGCATTCCATCTGGGTCTCACATGTGGGTGGCAGGAACGCAAGCTCTTGCGCCATCTTCTGCTGCTTTCTGCTTTCCCAGACATTCGCAGGGACCTGGATCAGAAGAAGAGCAGTTGGGACTCCATGCAGTGCTCCCATGCAGGTGGTAACAAACCAGCTGTGCCATAGCGCTGGTCCCTGTTGATGACTCTCGCCCACCTAGTTTCACTGTGATTCAACCTGTGGCTATCTGATTAGTTCTTTCCTTATTCTGTAACCTGTGCCTTAGTGGCCAGAGAGTGCATGTGTGTGTCACGGAACCATGCTGGGACATCCTGCTGAAGAGAAACAGAAGAACAGTGGGGCAGTGCCATTGCCCCAGGAAAGGTCCCACTCTGGTTAGCATTGATGGGGCGTCAGGAAACGGCGTCGAGGCGAGGTCGGGTGGGAGAGCTGTGGTGTCTCCAGGCTCCTCCTGGGAGTGCAGCATGCCTTGGCTTAGTTTTGTGTGAGGTGGCATTCCCAGGACAGGAGACTCCTCTGGGCTCAGGTGCGAGCTCAAGGCCTTCCTGGTGGGTCACCCCCACTTGCTCGACACTTCTGCTGCAGCCATCTTCCTGACCGGACTTACTGCTGCCACTGCGGCCTCTGTCTTGGCAGCCCCCCTTCTCGCCGCTTCTTCCCTCCCTGCTACTTGTCCCTCCCCCATCTTGCACCTCTGACTCTTGGTGTGGCTGTTTTCACACCTTAATTTTACTCAGCCTTTGCTTTTCACGAAGACCAAAGTTAAGATCAAATTCATTCTTTTGTTAACTTCTTGAAAAATTTATTTGGGAGGCGGAGTGGGGAGAAAAGCCAACAGCTGAGTAAGAGGGTTCTCGTTTGCTGGTTGACACCGTGCTTGCTCTCAATAGCTGGCCCTTCCCCTGGGGCCCTCACGTGATGCTCGGGCCGTGTACTTGAGCCATCATCAGCTGCCTCCTAGGTCAGTTACGGCAGGGATTCAAAAACTGGAGCCACAGTTTGCTGCTTCCCAGGCATATTAGCAAGATGCTGGACTGAAAGCAGAGTAGCTGGGGTTCGTACCAGAATTCCAATAATGTTCATAGGTGTCCCAAATGGCAGAGCAAAGGTTTGCTAATAACAGATTGTCAAAAGTTTTTTTTTTTTTTTTTTTAAAGAAACACTACTTTAAAATATAATGAAATTGGGACCTGGTGCAGTAGCCTAGTGGGTAAAATCCTTCACTTGCATGCACTGAGATCCCATACAGGCACCCATTCATGTCCTGGCAGCCCCGCTTCCCATCCAGTTCCCTGCTTGTGGCTTGGAAAAGCAGTTGAAGATGGCCCAAAGCCTTGGGACCCTGCACCCATGTGGGAGACCCAGAAGAGTCTCCTGGTTCCTGGCTTCAGGTCAGCTCGTCTCTGGCTTGGAGAGTGGATCAGCAGATAGAAGATCTTTCTCTCTGTCTCTCCTCTTCCCTGTGTATCTGACTTTCCAATAAAAATAAAAATAAATGAATCTCTAAATGTGTGTGTGTGTGTGCGTAATGAATTTGGACTGGGCATTTGGCCTAGTGATTAGAATTCTGGTTAATACACTCACATTCCACACTGGAGTAGCTGGTTTGACTCCCAGCTCCAGCTCCCAGTTAATGTAGGCTACTGCTAGGCTACTGCACCAGACCCAGAAGTGAATATATTTTTTAAAAAAAGAATATTACTACTTTTTTCTTCTCATTTGCTAAGTACATATTAGAATATGTCTTTATTAATGACTTTCTTGCTCTTAACTAAATTTAGTAATAATGGTTGCTAATATTTTAGAGTGCTTACTCTATGCAGGTATTATTTTAAATATAGGAATTGATCTCTGTTTAATCCTTGGACACTCATGTTCTATGGGATTAATGATTACAATATACCATGCAGATAAGAAAGCAGATGTGGGGCCTAACAGCACATGCCAAGATGCCATATAGGTGCTGGTTCTAATCCCAGGAACCCCATTTCCCATCCAGCTGTTTGTGGCCTGGGAAGGTAGTCGAGGACAGCCCAAAGCCTTAGGACCCTGTACACACATGGAAAACCCAGAGGAAGCACGTGGCTCCTCAGCTGTGGCCATTGCGGCCGCTTGGGGAGTGAATCATTGGATGGAAGATCTCTCTTTGTCTCTCCTCCTCTCTGTGTATCTGCCTTTGCAATCTAAATAAATAAAAGGAAAGAAAAAGAAAGAAAGCGGAGAAGGGCGAGGGAGTGTGGCCTCAGAGCCGGTGGTTCTAATGACTACCAGCCGTGACATGCATCTGTTTTCACCTTCAGACTTAAGTCCGCCCTGGCCCCAGACTGACTCCCCGCTCAGTGCTTATGATGTCTGCTTTCCCCCATGTTGGCGACACTGGCGTCCTCTGGGTCATCTTAGAGTGTGGACTGTAAGGGTCGGCATACTCCTTCATACGTATGTGTATCAGCATACAGGCAGCAGTGCTGGCTGCTGATACCAAGATGGGGAGGGCGCAGCGGTGCAGGGAGCTCATGGCCCAGTTAAAGAAGTAATTCAATACACTGATCAATTATGTAGCAGCGTATCCAGGAGCCAGGGGGCCCTGCCTTTCCCCGCCTGCAGCCTTCTACTGCACCCAGTCTCTGATGCGGTCCCCTTGTCTCATGCTCTCCTCTGTCACAGGCCCTAGCCTGGCCTGCATGGCCTGTCTTGCTCTGCACGGTGCGTGGATCAGTGAGGGTCCTGGTGGCACACAGATAGCATGCTCCTAGAGTATGACCCAACGGAGTTTGCTGAAGGCACGCCAGTAGAGTGCGGGCAAAGCTGGGGGAACCTGGAAGGCCTGGGGAAGCATTCGGAGAGAACCAACAGCGGGGAGAAATTACCCCCCACTTTCCGGCCTGCAGGCCCAGGGAAGGGTGGACAGCACAGGAGCTTCAGAAGTGAGGCGTCCTGGTGGTTCCTGGGCAGAGGGTAGTGCAGCCCCCAGAGGCTGGGTGGGGTCCATGCTGGTGCCCTCCTTTGGGATTCCAAGAACGGGAAGTCTTGGATCATGCACTTCTTCCTTGTTAAAAATTAATTAATGTAGGAGAGGGTATCCTGGTGTAGCAAGCTAAGCCATCACTTGCAGTGCTGGCATCCCATATGGGCCTTGGTTAGAGTTCCTGCTGTTTCGCTTCCAGCCCAGCTTGCTGCTAATGGCCTCAGAAAGCAATGGAAGAGGACTGAAGTGTCTGGGCCTGTGCTACCCACATGGGAGATCCCAGATGAAGCTCCTAGCATCAGTGTGGCCTAACTCCTGCCATTACAGTCAACTGGGAAGTGAACCAATAGATGGAAGATGTCTCTCTCCCCTTCTCTATTTCTCCCTTTTTTTTTTTTTTGTGCCACTCTGAATTTCAAATATATAAATGAGAATTTTTTTTTAAAAAAGCATTTATTTATTTGAAAGAAGTATATATAGAGAGGAGAGACAGCGATCTGGCATTTTCAGGTTCACTGTTTAAATGGCCGTAACAGCTCAGGCTGGGCGAGGGCAAAGCCAGGAGCCATGAAGTCCATCTAGGTCTCCCTCGTGGTTTCAGGGGTCCGAGCACTTGGGCCATCTTCAGCTGCTTCTTCTGGGTGCGTTAGCAGGAAGCTGGCTCAGAAGTGAAGCAGCTGACTTGAACCAACGTTCAAGATGCTTGTGTTACAAGTGGTGATTAGTCCAGCCCCAGGTCATATACTTCTTCAAAGGCCCGCTTCCCAGGGTTGAGAATGGACTCAAGAAGAGTAGAGGAGAGATTGGGAGGAAAGTGTAAGTTTAAGAGAATAACCCATGGAGGATAGCTCCCTGCGATTTGCGGTTACTTGCACAGTTTGTCTTGTGTTCCTGTTCCCTTGACTTGCATTAGTTCATGCACCAATCCTAGAGTGACAGGAAGCTGAAACTGGCCTCTGGGGAAAACGAACCAGAGCAAAACTGGGCAGTGAAGGGCTGCTGGAGCTAGAGGTCGGGGATGCTTTGGCTTCAGGCGGTGGTTCAGCCTCCCCCAGATGGGCTTGTTGTCTGCTTCCACCAGGTGGCAGGATGGCTGCCTGCTGCCCCGCTGGAAAAATGTAGCCTCCTTTCCCCCTTGCAGCCTTTGCTTGTCTACAAAGTTCTGAGGTAGGACCCAGATCGGCCGCCTGTGATGTTCCAAGGGGCAGGGATGAGGCCCGAGGAGGGCTCAGGGACTCTGGAATCCTGTGTTTTGAGAGACACCATGAGCTGGATGGTGGGCAGCAAGAGGCAAGGAGGACAAACCTGAGCTTGCCAGGGGCAGTGTCAAGCCGTTTAACTCTCCTATGTCTACATGTAAACTAGACCAGGGATCCTCGGGATTTATGTATCTTAATTTTGTCTCTAAAATGCACCTGCCTATGTTCACACTCTCTCCCTCTCTTGTCCTGGCCTGCTTTCCTTAAATTGGAAAGTAGAACACAAAGAGCCACCCCATCTGTCTCTAGGAACACGGTGTCTTTTTTTTTTTTTTTTTAATATATGCTTTATTATTTGAAATGTAGAGCAACAGAGATAGGGAAAGAGAAAGAAAGAAAGTGAGAGAAATCTTTCATTTACTGATTCATTCTCCAGATGGCCTCAACAGTCATGCTTGAGCTAGGTTGAAGCCAGGACCAGCAACTGCATTGTGGGTGAGCAACTTCTTGTGGGTGGCAGGAGCCCAGTGGCTCTGCTGCCTCCCGAGGTATGTCAGCAAGAAGGTGGATTGAAAGCAGGACAGCCAGGACTGGAATCTGTTAATGAATGCTGGTGTCATAAGTGGTAGCTTAGCTTGCTATATCACAGTGCCAGCCCCTAATGTGGTGTCTATTTTTTTTATTTTTGATATTTATTTATTGGAAAGGCAGAGTTACAGTAAGAGACAGAGGAATAAAGAGAAGAAGATTTTTGCCATTCACAGATTCATTTTTAGGTCAGACTGAAGCCAGGAGCCTGTAACTCCATGTTGGTCTGCCACATGAATGCAGGGCCCCAAGTACTTGAACCATCTTCCACGGTGCTCTCAGGCACATTAACAGCGAGCTGATTGGAGGTGGAACAGCCAGGATTTGAACCAACACCCATGTGGATGGGATGCCAATCTCACGGTTGGCCACTGAACTTGCTATACCCCATGTTTCTTTACTTTTTTTCCCCTAAGGTTTATTTATTGTTATAAGAAAGGCAGCTGTATATAGAGAAGGAGATACAGAGAGAAAGATCTTCCATCTGTTGATATTCATTTTCCGCAAGGCAGCAATGGCCAGAACTGAGCTAGTCCAAAGCCAGGAGCCAAGAGCTTCCTCCAGGTCTTCTACACAGGTGCAGGATCTCAAGGCTTTGGGCCGTCCTGGACTGCTTTCCCAGGCCACAAGCAGGGAGCAGGATGGGAAGTGGACCATCCAGAACATGAGTCAATGCCTAAATAGGATGCTACATTGGGAAATGACAGATTAGCCAACTGAACCAACGTGCCAGCCTCACTTTCTTCTCTTCCATCCCTCTTCTTCCTCCCTCCCTCCCTCCCTCCCTCCCTCTTCCTTCCTTCCTTCCTTCCTTCCTTCCTTCCTTCCTTCCTTCCTTCCTTCCTTCCTTCCTTCCTTCCTTCCTTCCTTCCGTCCTTCTTATCTAATTTATTTATTTGAAAGGCAGAATTACAGAGAGAGAAAGGGAAAGAGAAAGGTCTTGTATCACTCCCCAAACGACAATTAGAGCCAGGGCTGGGCCAGGAGTCAAGGCCAGGATCAACATCCAGGTCTCCCACATGGGTAGTTAGGCCTAAGGACGTGGGCTGTCTTCTGCTGCTTTCCCAGTCACATTATCAGGGAGCTGTATTGGAAGTGGAGGAGCTGGGACTCGAACCAGTGCTCATATGGGATGTTGTCATCATAGGTGACTGCTTAACCAGCTATGCCACAATGTAGGTCTTGGGGGGTCCTAACCAGCAAGCCCCCATGACCACCAGAGACAATCTGGTTGATCAAGTCTGTTTATTGTAAAGCAAACACAATCTTACATAGCCCAAGAAAACAGGAAGGCAGAAGGGTGTCTCCCAACAGTCTTCCCACCTGAAAACAGCACTGTAATTGGCTAGAAGGCAGCTCTGTTTCTCTGAACCTTCCAATCATGCTGTAGGTCACACACATCACATATGTCTGGCAGGTCAAGTTTACTGTATGTGGCTGTGGATCAGCTGTAGGTCACATACACCAGGCAGGTAATGTGGGATCACACCGACTTCTCAGAGTTGCTTATCAGGAAAGTTCCAGCACAGCTTGTCCAAGTACAGAGAAGGAAACTTGGGCATAGTCCACTGCTCTCATCTATATGGCCAATGATCAGGTCAGGTTGAGGTCTTTGTGTGGCAAGACCATTGAGCAGGGGCTCCCCTGGTGACATGTGTGCCATGCCTTATAGGCATGGCAGGCAGAGATCCAGGGCAGTCTCCCACATGTAGGGCCTTGTATCTTTTAGTTATTATTTTTTTTTAAAGATTGATCTATGTCTGTTTGTCTGTCTATCTATCTATCTATCTATCTAAAATACTACTGTGTCACATCTCAGATGCTCACAGTCAGGGCTGGACCAGGCAAGCCAGAAGCCAGGAATGTAAGCCATCATTTCCTTCCTCTCAGCATATTAGCAGGAAGCCAAATAGGTCATGGAATAACTGGGACTCAAACCAGACCTTCCAGTATGGGATGTAGTTAATTCAAACAGCAGCTTAACCTACTGGAGCATGGCACTAGCTCTGTAGTATCTTAACAACAAAACAAAACAAACTTTAAAGGTACTGCTTGTGCCCTTGGAGCATGCCCCACATTGGGGATCCTGGGGTGGGTAGGAGACTGGATAGGGCTTCTCCCCTTATCTCCCCTCTTACCCCAGATACAGAACAGAAAACATTTTTTAAAATGTGAAAACAATGGTCTTATCCACTATCCCGTAGCCTTTGACCCTTAGTGCCATAATCAACTATGTAAAGGTTATCAAAATAAAATAATAATTTGAAATGTAAAAAAAATAAGGTACTGCTTTTGTGGATCCAGGTGCTAAAGGAAAACAGGAGGAACTGCATCCATTTCGTTGATTTGTTTTTGGAGACTCTTTGAAGTGGAAATACAGTTTTGACCCAGAATCAATTTGGCATTAAAGGCTCCCCATAATTTGCTTTCATTACTTATGCACTTTAATCTGAACCTTGTGGGGATGATAGAGTGAGCCAGAAATTCCTGTTGGAACATCGCTGGAGCTGTAGGCACTTGTTTAAATCAGTTATCTCTGATGCACTTTGAATTTCTCATTGCAAAATGGAAAGGAGTCAGTACCATCTGCTACCAGCCACTTCACGATCAGTCTCTCTCCATATCCTCTTCTCTCTCTTTCCTTCTTCCTATATAGTGTCTATATAGCATTTGTAGACTATATGCTCTCCATATAGCTCCTGTGTATCTCTAAGCTCAACTGGATTTTTTCCCATGAAGGGCAGATGATACCTGTTTTAGCTTCTAAGTGACAAGCTCATGATTATACAGGTGCTGTTGATGCCCTTGAGATTTGAACCAGGTCTGTGAGGTCCAGAAGTCTATGTATTTAAGTCACTGCACAAAACTATCTCTGTTAGATACTTCACAGGCAGAAGCAGTCAGAATGAGATGCCAAGGTGGCTATAACACGCCAAGTGTAGTACGGGTCCCCAGGCTAGGAGAGCGGGGAAGTCTGCAGACGCTTTTATACACAGCGTGCTAAGCTGGGAGTTGGATTTTCTGTAACATGCTTAGAGCTTGCGTAGAGTGAATCCTGTCTGCTCTTAGCAGTGTGCGGACTTAACATGTCACTCAGTGCTCTGGAAGCTCCAATTCCACACTTGTGACAAGGTGCTGGCCATCTCTAGATTGCAGAACTGTTGTGAAGGTTTGCTGAGAATGTATGTCCACCCTGCTCCTGTGCTGTATCTCAGCATTTTTACCAACCTCCCCAGCTGTAAGTCCATGGAATATAATATTCAAGAACTTTTGTTTCTTTCATCTTCCTGTACTCCATGGTGTGGAAAAAATGAGACTGCATGAAAAGTCTCCCCCCCCCCGCCTCCTTTCCTTACCCGTCCAGTGTGTACCCATCCTTCAGGGCCCCCTCTGTAATTAAAGGAACCAGAATCAGAATATACTGCTTGATGGGGGTTTCTTCACAGCCTTTCCCCCACTCCTACACCATTCTTCCCAATCCTGGTTGTCATTCTGTCTCCACCCAGGGAGGGTTATGCTCACAAAGCACAATTCTAGATGTCTATGCCACAATTCTAAGATTCCCCCCAAAGAGAACAGGTAATAGATATTTTAAAACAAAATGTGATCTAGTAAGTATGTACTAAAGATTTTATGGTGGTTTTTACCTTAGGAGACTCAAGGTTGCTGATGTTAAAAGCTGACTTGTAGTGGAAATAATATAGTGTGTGTGTTGCACTGGGCATCTAGTGGGAGGGAACATTTCCTGACTTGCCTTCAGGTGCATAGAGGGATGAACCTGGAGATGGCCGAACCCCAGGGAGAACCTCGAGGCGCAAGGAAGCACAGTGCACGCCTTGCACGGGAATGCCTGCAGATCTGTGCTGTGAAATACAGCCTACGTCACACCTGCCACACGTAACTCCTTGTTTCCTCTTTTGTATTCTAGATGGAGCAGATAAAAAGAGCCAATAAACTGTTTACCAATGACTGTATATTTCTGAAGAAAACTTTGAACATCCCAATTATATCAGAGAAGCCTTTGGTGTTTAATGGCCTTAACTCCATTGATTCTCCAGAAAATGAAACTGTCGATAGCAGTTTTGCTCCAGAGGAGCTGCCAGTGGGGGCGGAGGAAGACTTCCCTCCTCCCAGTCCCCAAGAACCCGAAGTTCAACCTGGGGAGCCCGAAGACGTGACCGCCAGGGATTTCCTGCGGAGACTTGACCAGCAGATTAAGTTATCAACACAGGCAGCCAAGAAACTAAAAGAAGAGAGCAGGTAAAATTACCCTGGGACGAACAGCAGAGGCTGAAAGCTTTGTTCTTGGGATGTCTTCTGGTGGCTATATCTCTTCTTTTCAGCTTTAAAAACTGTGTTTTCATTCTAGAAAGCCAAGGAATCTAAACAGGTAACTATGTGCTACACAAAGTTTGACATGCAGCACTGCTTCTGTCTCTTTTTGAACTTTATTTTTATTCTATTTATTTGAAAGGCAGAGTGACAGAGTCCATCTTCTGGTTCCTTGGAGCATGCTCATTCTAAAGCCAGGAGCCTGGGACCCAGAGAAAGGGAGAGGCAGAAAGGTCTCCTTCTGCTGGTTTACTTCCCAGATGGCTGCAGTGACCAGAGCTGGGCCAGGTTGAAGCCAGGAGCTTCATCCAAGTCTCCCAGGGGAATGCAAGGACACAGGCACTTGGACCGTCTTCTGCTGCTTTTTTTTCAGGCAAGCTGGGCAGGAAAAGGAGTAGCCAGGACTCAAACCTGGTGCCCGCAACTTTGCTTTGCTGCTTGAATAACATCATAGTTCAGCTGGGGATCCCTTCTGCACACAGTAGACACGGAAGGAGCTTCTCCTTGCGTGTTCCTTTAAAATCTGTCTGGGATATCCCCTGCTACTTTTCCATTATTCACTGAAATTTCGTGTGAACTTATATCTTTGTTTTTTAGTTTGGCCCTGGAGCAAACTTCTTTTCTATTGAACTGGTTTCCTTCTTCCTTTTATGATTTCAAGAAGGCACAGCCTAATGTGTTTCCTTTTGCCCTAATGGGAAATTAACCATTAAAATCAATGCCCAGGGCTCGGCGTGGTGGCGCAAGTGGTTAAGGTCCTCGCCTTGCACGCCTGGGATCCCATATGGGCGCCGATTCTAATCCCGGCAGCCCTGCTTCCCTTCCAGCTCCCTGCCTGTGGCCCGGGAAAGCAGTCGAGGACGGCCCAAAGCTTTGGGACCCTGCACTCGCGTGGGAGACCCGGAAGAGGCTCCTGGCTTCGGACCGGCATAGTATCGACCGTTGCGCTCACTTGGGGAGTGAATCATCGGACGGAAGATCTTCCTCTCTGTCTCTCCTCTCTGTATATCTGCCTTTCCAATAAAAAACTAATAATAAAAAAAAATCTTTAAAATCAATGCCCAGGTTTGAAGAATATTTCTTTTTTAATGATTTATTTATTTTTGTTGGAAAGGCAAATTCATAGAGAGAAGGAGATACAGAGAGAAAGATTTTCCATCTGCTGGTTCACTCCCTAAATGGCTACAATAGCCAGAACTGAGCTGATCTGAAGCCAGGTGCCAGGAGTCAGGAGCTGCTTCTGGGTCTCCCATGTGCGTGCAGGATCCCAAGCCTTTAGACCATCCTTTGCTGCTTTTCCAGGCCATAAGCAGGGAGCTGGATGAAAAGTGAAGCAGCTGGCACACAAACTGGCGTTCATATGGGATCCCGGCGCTTGCAGGGGGCGGATCGGCTAGTTGAGCCATCACTCTGTGCCCCAGACGATATTTCTTAAGGTTAACATATTGTCTCCCTCTTCCTTCCATAGTCCTTTCTTTTTATTCCTGTTTTATTCATCTTATTGCCCTTTGTTATAGGCATCACAATTCCTCTTGAGAATGAGATATAACACAGCAAATTTAAACAAATATTAAATATTGTTTAGTATCAGCTTAATATATTAAGATATAATCTCAAGGAAAACCTTTGATCCACAGGCTAAATTGCTACTTGGGGTCCCACAGCCATTCTTGGGGTACCTGGCCAGGTCAGGGCTCCTGCACATCTGATCCAGCTTCATGCTCTAATGTGCACTGCACGTCAGGGCTAAGTGTTGGGGTCTCTGCCACGCCAATGGAGGCCTGGCCGGAGTTCCAGATTTCTCACTAGGCCTGGTGCAGCCCTGGATGTGCAGGCATTTCAGGAGTAGAAGATATATTTTTCAAATAAAAATAAAAATTGATAAATAAAACATCAAATATAATCTAAATAAAGATAAGTATGTAAACAAATATCATTTATTCCAAGTTACTGAGTTAGCAGTTAGATGGAGACATAGAGGTCTTAATAAATAGCTGTGTTTTTTAAAATATTTATTTATTTATTACTTGAAAGGTAGAGTTACAGAGAAAGAAGAGACAAAGAGAGAGAGATCTTCCACCCAGTGGTTCATTTCTCAAATGGCTGCTCTGGCCAGAGCTCGATTGGTTCAAAACTGGGAGCTAGGAATTTCGGAGTTGCCTACATAAGTGCAGGGAGCCAAGGGCTCGGGCATCTTCCACTGCTTTCCCAGGCACATGAGCAGGGAGCGTGATTGGAAGTGCGGTAGCCTGGTTTTGACTGGAGCCCTCGTGGGATGCCAGCATTTCAGTGGAGTATTAGCATGCGGTGCCACTGCGCTGGCTTCTAAATATTTTTATTTTACACAACTTTTTAAAAAAAAGATTTATTTTATTATTTTTTTATTGGAAAAACAGACAGACAGTGAAAAGGAGATACAAAGAGAAAGATCTTCTGTTTGCTGGCTCACTCCCCAAGTGGCCGCAACGGCCAGAGCTGAACTGATCTAAAGCCAGAAGCCGGGAGCTTCTTCTGGGTCTCCCACGCAGGTAAAGGGTCCCAAGGCTATGGCCCATACTCTCTTGCTTTCCCCAGCCACAAGTAAGGAACTGGATGGGAAGTGGAGCAGCTGGGATACGAATTGGTGATGGGTGCAAAGCAAGAATTTAACTACTAGGCTACCACATCAGACCCTTTACACAACTTTCCTCTATATTTTTTCTAAGATATTATTTGTTTTTATAAGAAAGGCAGTTGTACAGAGAGAAGGATATACAGAGAGAAAGATCTTCTGTCACTGATTCTCATTCCCCAATGGCCATGATGGCCAGAGCCGAGCTAGTTCGAAGCCAGGAGCCAGAAGCTTCCTCTGACTCTCCCACACAGGTGCAGGGTCCCAGGCTTTGAGCTGACCTCTAGTGCTTTCCCAGGCCACAAACAGGGAGCTGGATGGGAAGTGGGGCCGACAGGACATGAAGTAGTGCCCGTATGGAACCCCGGCACCTAGGACCTTAGTCACTAGCTTCCCACGCCAGGTCCCCTTTGTACAACTTTTGAGGCATACACAAAGCATGTGAGTTGATATATTCCTGTCTATATATTTTTAAAAGTTTATTTAGCACAGTGACAAAGAGAGACCTTCCATCTGGTAGCTCACTTCCCATATGCCCCAACCAGCTCGGGCTGAGGTGAGATGAAGCCAGGGGCCTGGAGTCAGCCCAGGCTTCACCTGTGGGTCGCAGAGATCCAGCTGAGCCAGCTCCTGCTGCCGTCCAGATTACGCAGCAGCAGGAAATGGCATGTGAAGTGCAGCTGAGACCAGATCCCAGGCACAGTGTGGGCTGTGGGCCTCTCAACTGGCACCTTACTAACTAGTGCCTACCCTGGGAGCGGGCATGCAGCTGTATTATATATGTGTGTGTTTCAGTGTTCAGAACACAGCTTTCAGCGCTGATTTACACTGTTTCTTTTTGTTCAGAGATGAAGACAGTCCCTATGCAAGTTCCCACTATCACAGCTAGGTGGCGAGGGCCAGCGCTGTCACCTGGATGAAGCGATGGTTGGACCACAGGGAACCCAACAGCTGAAGAGTCAGACTCGTCCGTTTGGATGCCCTTGGTCTGTGAAGTCGCTCCGCCTTCTGCAGTTACGCTCATGTAGTGCCCTCTGGCTTTCTACACGTTGACGTCTTCTTTATAGCATGATAGCAGTTGTACCCTCCAGCTCATCACTTCTGCAGGGGTGCTAGTTCTAGATGAGCTTTTGTAGATACCAGGTGATATAAAGCATCAAAGACTATGCATATATATGTGTGTCTGTGTATACACACACACACACACACACACACATATATATATACATATAGCAATGTTTATCTCATGAAATCCTAATTTTGTGAAAAACTTGGTGGCTGTTTTACGTGATGCTGAATCTGCTGCGTGTTTATAACTTAAGTGCTATATATGTATATTTCCATATGTATTAACATATTCTATACTAGTACAAAGAACCAAATTTTGTCTATTTTGTAAAAAAATAAACTACAAAATTCTGAATGAGAAAATAAACTATGTTTGTATATTTGAGTACTCATTTATTCCAACAAATGGGAAAATAAGAGAGATTTTAAAAAGATTTTATCTATTTGCCAGAAGGAGAGGGAGCGAGACACACAGATAGATTAGGGTTTGCCCCCAGCATGTCCTAAAGCTGGGGCTGCGCCAGGCCAAAGCCAAGAGCAAGGAATTCCATCCAAGGACCCAAGAGCTTGAGCCGTGAGCCGCTGCATCCCAGGTGAGGTGCCTTGAAGGGAGTTGGGTTGGAAGTGGTGTAGCTGGGAAGCAAATTAGCACTCCAGTGTAGGATGCAGTTGTCCCAAGCAGAGGCACAAACACCCTATGCCCTAATGCCTACCTCCAAATTATGCTTTTAAATTATGCTTTTGAAATAACTTCCCCCTCCTTTAATGTTTTTGGTATTTTGAGTGCAATCTTGAAAATAAAAAGCTTCAATAAAAGAAAATAATTACAGTTACTGGTAACCTTCTGGATTTCCCACGTGGGTGCAGGGGCCCGAGGCCTTGGGCCATCCTCCCTGCTTTTCCAGGCCATCACCAGGGAGGTGGATCAGAAGTGGAGCAGCCAAGACTCAAACTGGTTCCATATGGGATACTGGAAGCACAGGTGGAGAATTAGCCTGCCATTGCACCAGCCCCAATCTTTGCATTTTTGTTGACATATTTCAGACTTGGTGAAAGTATTTACTACAACTAAGAGGACAATTAAAACCATACCACAATCTGAAACTTTGCTGACATTTGGATTTCATTGCTATGTCATCTTATAGGACATTGTGTAGTCACTGAAATCATTTGAATCGATTTGGATTTATATTCACATAATTGTCTTACTGTAATGCTGTGTATAGGTTATTGTAGTAAACTTCAAGTATCATATCATTTACAGTAAAGTTTTTTTTTATATCCATTTCTATTGTACTAGCATGTTAAATACATCCTTAGGTTTTCACAAAAGCTTCCTGCACTTACTGTCCCAAATATCCACATGGAGTTTGATATTTGTAGAGCAAAAAGACTTTTTGATTCCTTGTTTTCATTTTCCCTTTTTCTCATTCATTTATATATGATCCTTCGGGGGTGTTTTTCTTTTTTTTTTAAAAAAAGATTTATTTTTATTGCAAAGTCAGATATATATAAAGAGAGGAGGAGAGACAGACAGGAAGAGCTTCCATCCACTGGACCACTCCCCAAGTGCCCGCAATGGCCAGAGCTGTGCTGATCCAAAGCCAGGAGCCAGGAACTTCCTCCAGGTATCTCACACATGGGTACAGGGTCCCAAGGCTTTGGGCCATCCTCAACTGCTTTCCCAGGCCACAAACAGGGAGCTGGATGGGAAGTGGAGCTGCCGGCACATGAACTGGCACTCTATGGGATCCTGGCTTGCTCAAGGTGAGGACTTTAGCCGCTAGGCCATTGCGCTCGGCCTGTGGGGGTGTTTTTCCTTGTGTTATTATAGTATATTTGACATAGAAGAGTCTCAATCATGCTTTGCTTTTATCTTTCTCTTTTTTTGTTTTAAGATTATTTATTTGAAGAAGGAGTCACTTAGAAGGGGATTGAGGGAGAGAGATGACTCTTCTATCCCCTGGCTACTCCCTATATGATCACATAAAAGCCAGAGGTGGGCCATGCTGACTAGAACCAAGCCAGGAGGCAGGCACTTTATCCAAGTCTCCTACATGGGTAGGAAGGGCCTAAGCATATTAGTAGGGAGCTGGATCATAAGTGGAGCAGCCAGGGCTTGAATCAGTGTCCATATGGGATACAGCACTGTAGGTTGCTTAACCTACTATGCCACAACACTGGCCCCAGTTTGCTGTTTTGTTTGTTTATTACTACCTGAGTAACAAAGTGTGGGGAGTTAGTTGAAAGGGGGAAAAAAAAAACAAACAGAAAAAAATTAAGGAATTAGAACAGATTTGTCAGAAAAGACCTGAGCCAGCTCCTGTGGACACCTGGGAACTTAAAAAATTGTTAACACTGTTTAACATAAAATGATCAAAAGCTTGAGCATAACACTAAAGACACTATCAGAAAGATGGAAGCTCAGAAAGTAAGCCCATGATGTGAAAAGCATTTTTTACCCTTTGCCCATGCTCTTTCACCAGTTTCTAGTCAAAGCATCTCTCCGGTGTTGGTGAACTTGGTTCCTTGGTGGCCACACTGAACTGTGGCAATGGAGTGCTCCTCCACCTGGCCTGTAAAATCAGAGTTCAGCAGTGATTGAGACAAGCATCACGTTCCAGCCCCAGCTTGGCCACTGATGGTCCATGTGAGCATAGCCCACGTCCTGCTCCCTGGGTGAGCCAGTGGTCTCATTTATACAACAGGACACACCATCTCCCTCTTGTCATGGTTGTAAGCGCTAACACGTGAAGGGCTTAGAAAACCAGAAGTTCTTGTAAAATATCGACTTGTAAAAGTACTGCGTATTCAGGCACGTTACGGCATGCCTTTGTCAGGGCCAGTGTTTTGGCCTTCTTGGATATGGACAAGCAGAGGTGGTTATGTCGTTGGACGACTCATCAAATGGTTGGAGTCCCTGTGCCTCAGTTAGTGCTGCTGGATGAAATTGTTGATTGCTGCTATTCCCTGCTCACCAGTGGGCTCTGGCTTTTCTAGAAACACTGGAGAGACAGAAGGAAAGAGACATAGAGAGAGGAGGGATGGTGTGAGGACTTTGGTTTCACTTTGGCCACCATGGATGGGAAGGAGCAGCAGCAATCTCCTAACCAAAAATTGCTTCTTCCCACTTTCCTGGAAGTGCCCCAGTGCACCCTGCAACTTGACCCCTAGGCCTGGGCCTGGAGGACGGAGCCTCACTCTTTTATATGATTTCAAGCAAAAATGTACAAAAATGTCATCAATTCACTCTGAATAGTGCCTTTTCAAGTATTCTTTGGCCCGGAAAAAGTGGCCTGGAAATAACAGTTGGAAGAGGCCCTCTGGCCACCCTCTGCTTGTTCCTGGGACCATGTTTGTGGCGTGGGTGACGAGGGGTAGAAACCTTTCCCCCAGGGAAGTTGGGCTCTAGCTTTGATTCACAGGGAAGGTGAGTTTTTTTTTTTTTTAGCCTCTCCTTCAACCTTTACTGCCTGATCCTTTGCTCCCTTTGAAAAGCCCTTGGCTTGGGTCTACCCTGCTTTAGGTAACTGAGATCTGCCACCATTTGTTACCTGCTTTAGGTAGTACTGATGCCCTCATTTGTCTTCCTGGAGAAAATAAATAGCCCTCTTTATAAGCAAAATTAAAAGAAATCCCTAACAGGACTTGTTAAGAGTGGGGGTGGATTGTTGGTAAGTCCACCAAATGCTCGACCCATTTATCAGGTTCCTTTTAGTCCCTCTGGGCCCGCCAATGGGACAGCTCAAAGAAGCAGAAAAAAAAAAAATTCACGTGGTGGCTCTCCTTAAGGCATAGCCTTTGTGGAAATCGAGAATTTATTTCATTTGCCAAGTGGCAACTACAGGTGGAAATGAACTCTGGGAAAAGGCACCTTTCACAAGGTGCTTCGATCCCCAGCAGGCCTTGAAGACAGCCCTTTCATTCCTCAGGGTCTGTTCCTGTGTGAGTCAGCAGGGAGGATTACTTATCAGTTCAGTCCTTCAAAGGCTTTTCCAGGGCAAGTTATCTGGTTCTAAAATGTGAATCTATGAAGAAATAAGGATTCTAGATACAAAATCTCAGCTTACATACAACTTTACTTCTCAGATAGATTTAATGGCAAGAAAGCTACATATTAACCATTTTAAGAATAGGTTAACTATGGTAAATTCAGCACTTTCTAATATTTCTTGGGTCAAAGAAACTTGAATCATGAGTTAGGAGTGTCTTCAGCTCTGCTGTGTTTTCTCAAACAGTTGACAGAAACCCGGGGCTTTCACCACCTCTACAGGCTGCTGTAAATGCGCTTGATGGCCTTGGCTTCTTCCTGGTCAAGGATGCCTTTCTCCACATACGCGTCGGCTTGGTGGCTGATGAAGTCCCTCATCTTGGAAAGGTCATAATCTGGAAAACATGATTAGGAGTATTACGAGCAAATATCAGGGAAGATCCATTCCATTACAGCGAGGACCATCAACCAGGAAGAGTTTGGCCGCCACTCCCCATCAAATGGGGAGGCATGTTCATTCTTGGCATTTGTGCAGCAACCGATGGCTTAAAGGAATGTTTACGTACATGCTGTCTTTATCTCACTCACTCTTCATCACAAAGAACCAGTACATTTCATCCAATAGGGAACTGGTTCACAGGTCAGGGCTTAGCAGATTTTAATGTATACAACAATCACCTTGGACTCTTGAAGAAACGTGGGGTCTTCATTCAGTAAATCTGGGATGGGAACCTAGAATTTGTGGGATTTTTTAAAATAAGATTTATTTTATTTTATTTTTTTATTGGAAAGGCAGATTTACTGGGAGAAGAAAACACAGAAAGATCTTCCATTCAGTGGTTTACTCTCCAAATGGTCGCAATGGCCAGAGTTGAGCCAGTCTGAAGCCAGAAGCCAAAAACTTCTACCAGATCTCCCAGGTGGGTGCAAGATGGATTTGGGCCATCCTCTACAGTTTTCCCAGGGCACCATAAGGAAGCCTGATGGGAAGTGGAGCAGCTTGGACATGAGTTGGCACCCCTGTGGGATCCTGGTGCTTGAATGGGAGAGGATTAGCCAACTGAGCCACTTCGCCAGGACCCAGAATTTGTGTTTTAAACAAGTCCTAAGGAGATACCCTGTTCCTGTGCCAGAAACCATGCTTGGGGCACCTATAGCTTAAGTGCCTTATTTAAAGTCACAGAGCTGGAAAAAGTTATGGTTCTTGTGCTGCAACAGACATGGGCGTGCAGGGATCTGCCATATTGATTGCATTTCCTTTGGACATCTGCCCAGAAATGGGATAACTACATTAGATGGTAGTTCTAGCTACTGTTTTTTGAAGAACCCCCACACAGGTCTCTGTAATGGGTGCGTTAGTTTACATCCTCAGCCACATTGTCTGAGAATTCCTCTGTATTCTCCTCAGCGTTTCTGCTTTTTGAAAATAGCTCTTCTGCCTGGGGTAGGAGTCAAGCAGGCTCTTCTGCATACGGATATTCCAGTTTTCCCACACCATTTATTGCAAGAATCGCTCTCTCTCCACTCTGTTTTTGGTGCCTTTGTCAAATGTAAGTTGGCTATATATAGGCCCTGGCTTTGCTTCTGAGATCTCTAATCTGCTCACTGGTCTATGTGTCTGTTTTTAAGATTTATTTATTTTTATTGCATAGGCAGATATATATAGCAAGGAGGAGAGACAGAGAGGAAGATCTTCCTTCTGATGATTCATTCCCCAAGTGACCGCAACAGCTGGTGCTGAGCCAATCCAAAGCCAAGGGCAAGGAGCTTCCTCCGGGTCTCCCACACGGGTGCAGGGTCCCAAGGCTTTGTGCTGTCCTTGACTGCTTTCCCAGGCCACAAGCAGGGCGCTGGATGGGAAGCAGGCCCACTGGGATTAGAACCGCAGCCCATATGAGATCCCGTTTTGTTCAAGGCAAGGACTTTAGCCGCTAGGCCATGGTGCCGGGTCCTAGGTGTCTGTTTTTATGCCACAGTTCTTTCTGTCTGGGTTATCACAGGGCACTGGAGAGTGAGCCCTCTCCGTCTTTCATAGCATATTCCGGGATAAGCTCTTGGTACAGCAGACAAGCCGTTACTTGGGATGCCTATTTCTTATATTGGAATGCTTGATTTGAGTCCTGGTTCCTCTACTTCTGAACCAGTTTCCTGCTAATGCACATCATGAGAGATGGCAGTTGATGGTTCAAGTGCTTGTGTCCCTGTAACTCACATGGGAGTCTGATGGAGATGCAAGGTCCCTGGGTTGGCTTGGCCCAGCCCTGGATGCTGCAGGCATCTGGGGAGTGAACAAGTGGGTAGAGCTCTGTCTCCCTCTGATTGTCCCTCTGTTTTTCTAATGAAAGGCAAATTTGGAAAAAGAGTGAGCATATTCCATAGGGGTCTCACTTTTTAGAGCAAAAGAGAATATTCAGCAAAACTTCATCATTGTAAAGTTTGCTCTAAGAGCTTTCTGTTTGCAAGGACCTTTAAGGTTCCACGCTTCATTATATCCGTTATTTCAGCAACAGGAAGATTGAAATTTGGGATGTTTTTGTTTATGACAATGGTGTGATTCATATGCTAATCAGCAAAGTCAGTAACATCAACATTCCACATCAGTGTATCACACAATTTATACTCCCTACCGGCTGACTTATATTGATTTGTAAGATGAACTTTAAACACTGCAGTTATGGATGGCCTATTGTGACTTAGTTAGCTGCATTCTTTTCTTTCTTCATGGTACAATAAACTCAGTGTATCTTTAATTAGTGACAGATGTGATAAAATATGGTTCCTGTGATTTTAATAGATATGACAACCTGGGAACTCACATTATTTTGAGCCAAATAAAATGTACAAATATTTGAAAACTGTCTCCATCTCACTCAATTTAGAAGCTCACCTGCTAACAGGGTGCTGAAAACACAGAGTCTTCCTGCCAGACATTGGTCAACTGCCTATTTCCCTGCCCACAGGGAAATTCGTTCCTGGGCAAACGAATGGCTCTGGTGCCCTGAACACATCCTTCTGTCCTATCTCTTTGTGTCTCAGGGCCCTGTGTTCCTTGGCCTCCATCTCTAAGTACTTGACAGATCCTTCCTTACTTTTCCAGAGAGGGCTTTCCTGGTCCCCTTCTCCCAACTCTCTGTCTTGGTAAGAAGATCTACCGCCTCCTCCCACCTCCTTGAGCTATTGCACCTGTCAGGATCTAGGCTGAGCATGTGTTGTTGATGCTGGGAGCCCTCTGAGGGATGAGGGGCTGCATCTCACAGTCCTTCACACATGTGCACCTCAGAACAGGGCTTGGTTCTGTGTTTGTGTTACTCCACTCTGAGTGGGAGTGCTGGAGTGATTCCAAGTGCACCTAATACTCATGTATGCTCAGAAAATGCCCTAGTTGAAAATACTCCAAGGGGAAGAGTGGCTAACACAACACTGGCAAATGCTCATCACTATGAGAGGTGGGTGACGGGCACATAGGTATTTATTATATTTTTTACTCTACTTTTGCTTGTTTTTTTTTCCCTAATGAAAACACAAAGGAAAAAATGCCTTCGTGTAAAAGACTGTTAAAAGAATAATAATAATAATGACAATCAAAGAAGTGGAAGTTCTGTCCCAAGGCACCTGTGGGGTGTCTGGAGTCTATGGAGCTCTGAGAAGTGTCAGCCCAGGCAAAACTAATGTGGGCTTTATATAACACCCTTCACAGATGGGGGAAGAGTGTAATGTGCAGCCAAGATCCATACCTTCTTTATTTCCTTTTTTCTCGTGTTTCTTCAGCCACTCAATATTTTTTCTGATGGCTTCCAAATAGGCTTCTGTTTTGCCTAGAAAAAGCAGGAGAACCACATCAGATAGTCCCAAGATTTCACCATTTTAAAGATCCCACTTAATGTGTAAGACCGTTAATACTAGACTTGTGGAACACTCACAGGTTGTGCCGCAGAGTGAGCAATGCGCATGCCATATATATGAGGACATGGGGAGGGGCCGAGGAAACGGTGGCACAAGACCCCAGAAGACCAAGCTGGTAATTGTCAAGGGGCACTAGTGCCATGCAGAAACAAAATACAGTTCCGTATCTGAGCAGAGGAGTGGATTGACTCAGTTTACTACACAGTGGGTTCCTATGGTTGTTAGCTTGGGTCATTTCTGGCTAGGGATGATTCTTTGCACCTGAGGAGCTTCATCAGGCCAAGGACTGAATCACAGGCAAATACAGAAAGACTCGGTCACCTTCAGCAACAGTCCTGCAAGCAACTCAAGTGCTTCCTGAGGTCACCTGCTAGTTATACTGCTTCAGTTCAAACCTTTCTATCAGGATCGGCCTTGGAGGGAAGTCAGTGTTAGACGATTCAACACCAATGTCTCAGGGCAGGCTTTGTGGTTCGGTGGGTTAAGCCACTGTCTGGGATACCCACATCCCATATCAGAATGCCGGTTCCAGCTATTCCACTTCTGCACCGGCTTCCTGTGAAAGCATCCAAGGGGGCAGTGATTGACAACTCGAGTACGTGGAACCCTGTCACCAGATACAGTTCTGGGCTCCTGGCTGTCTCTGTCTCTGTCCCTCTCCCCCACCTGCACACACACACCTCTCTGTCTCTCTGCCTTTCAGATATAAATAAACAAGCAAATAAAGAAATGATAAAAACCTGTTTTTTTTTTTTTAAAGAAGTCTCAGCATTACCTTATTAGGCTGTACTTCACTCAGAAAGTAATTATCCATAAAAATGGCATGGGATGTCTAAAAATATGACAATACAAGTTTCATTCATATCTTGACATTACCCATTCACATCACAAAATGAGTTTGCTGCTGGTTAGAGACAAGACTGGGGGCTGGTTTTGTGGTGCAATGGGTTAAGTAATGGAACACAACCCATGCGGGAGATCTGGAAGAAGCTCCAGGCTCCTGGCTTTGGATCCAGTCCAGCCATTGGGATCATCTGGGGAGTGAACCAGCAGATGAAAGATCTTTCTCTTTCTGTAAATCTGTCTTTCCACTAAGAAGAAATAAATTTTTAAAGAAATTTTTGAGAGCCAAAAAGAGAGAGGAGGAGGGAGGGGATTCCTATTCATTGGTTCATCTCCCCCCCCCCCAAAAAAAAATGCCATCAATGGTTTGAGTGGCTGAAGATGGAAGCCAAGAACTCAATCCAGGTCCCTTCACACAGGCAGGAGGAGGCGGCTGTGTGAGCCATCGCCATTGCCTTGCACAGGCTGCGCTGGCTGGAAGCTGCAGCGAAGAGGATGGGCCAGATACGCGATGCAAGACACGCTGATACATAACACAAAAATCCTGATAGAGTCTCAATGGATTGGCCAAATGCCTGCCCACCCAGCCTCTCTCTCTCTTTTAATGAAAACGAAGTCTCTGCTTGAAAGACTTACGAATTCTGGGTTTAAATGATTGGTGTACGAGAAACAAGTGAAAACACGAATGTGCTAGCCAGGCCATAGTCTTACAAAACATGATCTGCAGAGAACTCTAGGAAACCAGTGTCATTCCTGGGTTTACTTACAAGGAAACTCGGGTTTGAAGAAGCTACATGGCGTGAGCAAGGGGACAGGACTGAGCAAGGGCCGGAGCCAGAACGAACCTGGAGCTGCTAAGGAGACCTGGCTCCCATTCATCTTTTGGACTAGAAGGATTTTTCTTTTCTTTTTTTTTTAATTTCATCAATGTTTATTATCTGGAGAAGCTACATTATTCCACCCAAATTTTCCAGAAATTCATAAATAGTGATAGAATAAGCTTTTTCCATTTTAAAAGGCCAAATGAGCATATTTGAAATGATAAAAAATGATTTCTGCAAGCTTTAGTCCAACTTCTAAAAGGTGTAGGGAAATCCTCATGCGGCCCAGGTCCCAGCCGTGGCCATGCTGTGTCATGGTGCAGAACTTACAGCTTCACTTCCAGACTCAGCAATCATAGTGTTGTGGTCCAAGGACAAACTGAGCCCTAAATTACGCTCCTGGATGGACTCAACTTTACGTGATTGTGAGCACTTCTGTCCCACTCGTCTTTTGCATTGATAGCTATTATCATCTCTCCTTTTCATCACCAAGGTTATTGGAAACTTACTTTGACTATAACATGATACGAGGATGTGGACAATAAAATCTTTATCAGCACCTTTGTGATTGAAGTTTCAGTAAGAATAGCTAATACACATTGGTACACTTTGATGACAGAAATCTGTCTTTTTATATACACAGGGAAGTCATTTCCTAGGTGCTGTTCATCTGAACAGACTTGTAGGTTATTACAGGTGTTTGTCTAATTCTAACATGGAGCCAGGAGGCAGTAAGAGGTTACAGACAACTCAGCAGAAACTATGAATAGCTTCAAAAAGCATGAGGAGCCCACCTAGCATGCCAGAGATCTTCATTGTTGCATCAGATCTCCGCCCATCTAGTCCGACCCCTCTTTTCCTATGGAGGTACCTTAGAAAACGGAGGTTGGACTAGATGGATTTCGTACCAAGCGTTGTCACTGGCAGTGGTCCTCCAGCATCCGCACATTCAAATTGGTTGTCAAGCTCTGGCTCCAGACTCCAGCTTCCTGTTACTGCAGACTGCAGGAGGCAACAGTGCCGACCCTGCAGCTGGGTTCCTGCCCCCCACATGGGAACCTTGTTTGCATTCCTTGCTCACAGCTTTGGCCCAGTCTGTCCCAGTCACTGTGGGAATTTGAGGAGTGAACCAGCAGATGGGAGAGCTCTTTCTTTTCTTCTCTCTCTCTCTCTCTCCCTTCCCCTGCCCCCGGCCTCTCAAATTAAACAAACAACTTAAAAATTATTTAACGGAGCTTTTTCTTTTTTTTTTTTAAAGATTTATTTATTTTTATTGCAAAGTCAGAATACGGAGAAGAGGAGAGACAGAGAGGAAGATCTTCCGTCCGATGATTCACTCCCCAAGTGACCACAACGGCCAGTGCTACGCCAATCCGAAGCCAAGAGCCAGAAGCTCTTCCAGGTCTCCCACGTGGGTACAAGGTCCCAAGGCTTTGTGCCGTCCTTGACTGCTTTCCCAGGCCACAAACAGGGAGCTGGATGGGAAGTGGAGCTGCTGGGATTAGAACCGGCGCCCATATGGGATCTGGTGTGTTCAAGGCGAGGACTTTAGCCACTAGGCCACCGTGTCGGGTCCAAACTTTTTCTTTTCTTTTGTTTTTAAGGATTTGTTTATTTATTTGAAAGTCAGAGTTATAGAAAGAAAGTTCACTTCTCAAATGGCTGCCAGCGGCCAGGCCAGGGCCAGGCTGATATCAGGAAACTTGAACTCTTTCAGAGTTTCCCATGGGGATGTCAGGAGCCTGGCATTTATACAGGATGCTGATGGTGGCCTAACCCACTGTGCTACAATGCTGGCCCCTAGCAGAACTTTTAAATTCCCATGCCCAGGTCACTCCTCTCAACAACTTAGCATTTCTAGGAGCAGGGACCAAGTTGCATCATTATTTTCTAACCACCCGAGGCGATTCCAGGCGAAACAGTGTGGGAACCCCTGCTGCTGGTGCTGGGGGCTACGGGCAGAGCCTGGAGCACTGGGCAGGGTGAACACCAGGCCACCACCAGGTGCTCTCTGTTCCCAGGGAAGCAGCTGCCTTCTGTTTACACACTCATTTCCTGGGAGCTGCAGAGCCCATCTTTTATTTACATAGCGTGTGCTGAAAGCTTACGAGAGTCCCCTTGGGAAAGCAGGACTACTTTTCCCCCCATTTATGTCAGCTTCCTTTGGAAAAAAAATAGCTCATGGCTGAGGTAATGTGGCACAAGCCTTAAAACATATGCTCAGGCAGATGGGAAGAGGGCCAGAGTCAAGATGCAGCCCAGCATTCCCAGCTGTTTCCATTTTCAACACTGCATGAGAAATCTCTTTGTGTGTACATGAATCTGTCCTGACTGATGATCCCTCCACAAAAGAAGTATGGAGATCCATACCATTCATCTCTTAATGATGGCATCTCCTGAAAATATCCGCTCTGTCAAAAGGGATTTAGACTCATGAGCTGGATGACTACAACTTTGGATTTCATGACAAAGTAAATGAGACTGGTAGCAAGAATGGTCCAGGAAATGCAGATGGAAGAGCACTGGATTGGGAGTCAGGAGACACAAGTTCAAGGCCCAGCTCTTCCACTCTATCTTTGGTAAGTCACTTCCTCTTCTGGAAGATTGCTTTACTAATCTGTAAATTAAAGGGTGAATTCTGGGCCTGGCGGATGGCTCAATGGCTAAATCCTCACCTTGTATGTGCCAGGCTCCCATACAGATGGCAGTTTGTGTCCTGGCTGCTCCACTTCCTATCCAGGTCCCTGGTTAGAGCCTGGGAAAGCACTGGAGGATGACGCAAAGCCTTGGGACCCTGCACCCACGTGAGAGACCCAGAAGAAGCACCTGGATCCTTGGCCATCTGGGGAGTGAACCAGCGGATGGAAGATCTTTCTGTCTGTCTCTTCTTCTCTTGGTAAACCTGATCTGCCTTTCCAATAATAAATAAATAAATTTTAAAAGGGTGAATTCTAAAAAAAAGATTCATGGTTTCTACATTGGCTATCCATGAAACACCCATGTTGGTATGTGAGTCTCCTGGGTACATGCTAAGTTTCTGACCCACTTTGCCAACTCACAGGGGAGAAAATTACACTCAGAACTGTTAAGACATTTCTAGAAGAATGGCTTGGGACCTGAATGCAGGCACATACTGTCTTCTCTTAGGTTGCTTAAAGAGAGACAGCATCCAGATGAGTTAGTCAATTTAGTATAAGTTTAATACTCATTAAATTTGAGAGCGTTTTCAGCATCTGTTATAAAGATATGGGAAAGATAGGATATTTAGGTGAAGTTATCTTAGAGATCTCCTTCTTCAACTTAATTTCACTATCTGGACATAAATTTGACGCATGCATAGTACTGGAACGAGTTTCTGGGTGTTCTAATGTTTATCTCATCCCTTGGATGACTTCACAAAAGATTTTCCGTGACTCATAGACCAGAAGTGAAGGAATAAACATCCAACTGGCAAAAAGAGCCACTCTTAGATAATGGAATAAAGTTATAAAGTACTTTTTTTTGGCCTTCAAAGAACAATTTCTTTGAAAAATTAAGCAACTTTATAAGTATGTTGGGATTAAAATAAATTTCTATGTCATTGTCATATCCCTAAATTTAAAAATAACTATTGAATCATTCAAATGATTTCGCCAATTAGTAGTCAACACTTTAAAAAAATTCATATGCAAATCCCAGTAGGTTGCAAGCATTCAAACAGCCTGACAAAAACTATATTCAAAAATGAGTGTCATTTTTCACCATGGTAATTAAAGTGGGCTTTTTTTTTCTTTTGTATTAAATCAGCAACCAGATGCACATAAACATGTTTTGTAAATGAAAGAGTTATACAAATGGAAGGTATTATTATTGCTGCTCTGAGTTTTAATTTTATTTATATCAGTCACAGGACCCAGTACATGATAGGACTCATTAATAAAGGTGAGTACATTTCAAAAACTTTGCAGAAAATGGGATTAAAAATAAGATACGTTTGGTGTAAAAAAAAAAAAAGTGAAGCCCATGGATAGTTTTTTTCATCATATGCATTTTCTATGAATTATCGGAAGATCCTTGGCATTTGGTGTAGTTAGATGGGACCATCCTTTCACACTGCAAGACCACGACAGACTGCCCGCAAATACCCTGGACACGGGTGCTGTTCACAATTATTTCCTTAAGTGGTTTTAGTTGGGCCATTACCTCATCTGTTCTTCTACTGTGCAATGTGCTCCAATGCTTTCTCTTGTAAGAAGCCCATGCTTGCGCCCAAGCCTGGCTCAGAGATAAATGGCTGATGTTGCACTTGGCCACTATCTGGGTTAAAAACATCCTTGGGTCACTCACTTTAGGCTTACCTGAGTCCTCAAAGGTAGTGTTGGTTCTCAGGCCCCTGCTGCAGCTGCTTGCTGAGCACAGGGCCAGCATGCCATTAGAATAAATGTTTATTTATTGCTGAATAAATACTTCAGAGAAGCCAGGCAGCCCTGCCTTCACTGACAGACACTTTCATTTTGCTTCCTACAGGCAAGTGGTTTATAACAGAGAAAGTAAAATAGCCTTTGATCAAAGCACCAGTAAAGTCACTTTAAATGCAAAAATATGAGGCTGGCACATTAGCACAATGGATTAAGCCTCCTGCACACTGGCTTCCTGTATTGGTCAGTTCAAGTCCAGAGGTTCTGCTTCTGATCCAACTCCCTGCAAATGCACCTAGGAAAGTGATTAGGCTTCTGCCCCCACGATAAAACCTCGAAAGAGTTCCAGCTTCTGACTTCTAACCCAGGCAGCTGCTGACACTGGAGAGTAAACCAGTGCAAGGCCTTTCCCTCTCTATCCCTCCCTCTCTCTAACTCTGCCTTTCAAATAAATAAATGCCTTTAAAAACAAAAGTTGATTAACTTTACAGAATGTGCCTACAGACATGAAATTCATACTAAAGAACACAATAGGGCGCAGTGATCTAGTAGCTAAAGTCCTCGCCTTGAACACTCCAGGATCCCACATGGGCGCTGGTTCTAATCGCGGCAACCCCACTTCTAATCCTGGCAGCTCCACTTCCCATCCAGCTCCCTGGGAAAGCAGTTGAGGACAGTTCAAAGCCTTGGGACCCTGCACCTGCATGGGAGACCTGGAAGAGCCTCTGGCTCCTGGCTTCAAATCAACTCAGCTCTGGCTGTTGCGGTTACTTAGGGAGTGAATCATTGGATGGAAGATCTTCCTCTCTCTCTCTCCTCCTCTCTCTCTATATATCTGACTTTGCAATAAAAATAGATAAATCTTTTTTTAAAAAGAACACAATAATCTAAAACTTCATAAGCTTTTACGAAACAATGTGAACTTGATAGGTTAAGCAGAAATTTCTTTTTCTAGTCCTGACTCAAAAAAGATCCAATGGCTGAAATAAAAACTGCATACTTGCCCAATATCACCCATATAACCTGGGCTTAGGTCTGTAATTGTATTTTCCACAGAAGGACCGGGAATTCCTTGAAAGGGACTGATTTCAAGTCTTTGTAAAGAGGGAGTCTAGGATGTCTTCTTGTTGCCAGGAAGCTAAGATGATCTTCTGAGAAGCAGAGCAGGTGTTTGGCCTGGGGGGGCAGGATGCCTCTATCCCATATGTGGGTTTGAGTCCCAGCTCTGCTCCAGATTCCAGTTTCCTGCTGAAGTACATCCTGGGTCGGGGAGGGGAACAGCAGGTGATCTGCTCAAGTAACTGTATCCTTGTGACCCACATGGGAGGCCTGGGTTGAGTTCTCAGCTCCTTCTGGTCATTGCCAAATGTTGACATTAATCTGTCTGACTGTGTAAGCAGGAGACATGGGGTTGGGAACCTATAAATGAGCTAACAGTTCCTTCAAAATTAGACAAGAAGAGGATGAGTGTGGTCTCATCGCACAACAAGGAAGAAGCACCTTCATTCATTCCCACCAGTACTTACATGTAACAATCATTAGAGAGCCAAGAGCATGGTTACAGATAATCAACTAGCTTGGTACCCAGAGAGGGGACCCTTGCCTAGTCCCTCGGCTCCCAGGGAATAATGAATTACTGAAAGATGTAAATAAGGTTCTGATTACATGGAAGAGGTCAATATATCATAGTAACAGAACAAGACGGTAGACTCCAGCCAAGTGTTCACGACCTCTGACAAACACAGCAAGTTTCAGGAGAATATGAAATGGATATTTTGATGTAAACTTGGTACTGAAAGGAGTTTTACCCCCTGAATTATATAATCAGATCTCACAGCCTGATCCAAAATCATAGGGACAATCACTTAGAATGTGTAACCTTGTGGAAACTTACCCTTCAGGACACAGGAAAGCTTCAAAATCTTAGGAAGATGTAAACTTTATATCACATAGATACATTTAGGACATCTAAAGATATTTGGTAATTGGATTTGTTATTTTAATCAGATCCTTAAAAGCGTTTCTTAGTTTATAATCATTGGCTAAATAATTATGGAAATTTGTCTGGTTAAATCTATCAATTTTGATGACCATGTGAGTAAGCAGTATGTGACTATTTACAAGAGTGTTAAATAAGTCTGAAGACATTTTGTTCAATACATCTGAAAGATTACAAGTTGGACAATTAAATAGTGCACAAATCCTCATGAATATTCATCTCCAAGCCGAGAAGTCTGACACTGAAGACCATCAGGACATAAAACCAGTTTGCTCTTCCATGAGACTCAAAACTACTGAAGAGATAAAGGTATCACGTGCTAAATCTTAAATCTACTCCATGGATCATGCTGAGGTTCAGATGTGTGGGGGCTTGTTTTGGGGCCACCTTACCTTGGACAGTGAAAGCTCTCGCTTTCCCAATTTCACTGCCAACCACAGTTGTCACATTCATACCTTTCGGTTCATCTGCCTTTCCTCCCAGGTTGGAGCTGTCTTCCTTGGTGGAATCCTTTAAGGTTCCATATTCCTTTTCCATCTTGGCAGCTTCTTCTTTGGTGCTGTCGGTTTCCTCATGACTCTTCTCGGACGGGGCTGTGATCAGATTGTTCAGTGTCATTATAAACCTGTTTCCTATCTGTTAATTCATTCCTAATGCAAATGCAGACTTTTCTGAAAAGGTGGAGGTAGAATGGGATCTTAGTGATTGTTTAATACCCTCTTTTCCATCTGGACAGAAAAGGAACCTGAGATCGGGTGCCTAAGATCACCTGCTGAGTCGATGGGAGAGCGGAAGCAAGCCCCCAGCATTCTGATGTAGTCCTGCTTCCCTTCCGCCACACTGCGTCATGGGGGCAGACTCTCTTTCTTAATTTAAGCTCTTTAGGTACTCACATGGGTATGTCAATTCTCAAAGTAAGTTTGTCAAGTTTTTATCCTAAATGAGAATAACTATTAGTGTTCAAACTCACCTTGACCTTATATTTTTTTCCTAAGGCTTATTTATTCAGAGTAGCACCCAAGGATTTAGGACTATGTGAAGCCTTCCCTGCTGTCCCCTTTTTTTCATACTCCTTTACCCTGGGGCATCCTAAAAATAAGCAGAGACTTGGAGTCTTGCTGCTAGAAAGATATTAAGCCTAGTTCATGTCTCTCTTAAAAATACACTTAAAAAGAGCTGTATTTTGGGGTTGCCATTGTTGCAAATGAAGTTAAGCTGCTGCCTGCAATACTGGCATCCCATATGTGTACCCATTCAAGTCCCATCTGCTTCATTTCTGATCCAGCTCATTATAAGATGGGCTAAGTTTCTGTGCCTCTGCTACCCACGTGGGAGACCCAGATGAAGCTCTTGCATTCCGCTTTGGTTAACCCAGCCCTGGTTGTTGCAGCCATTTGTGGGGTAAATCAGTCGATATAAATCTTTGTCTCTCCCTCAATCTTGCTCTCTTTCTGTAGCTTTGCCTTTCAAATAAATAATATTTTTAAAAAAGATTTATTTATTTTTATTGGAAAGGTAGTTCTACAGAGAGAAGGAGAAACAGAGAGAAAGATCTTTTATCTGCTGGTTCACTCTGTCTCTCTTCTCTTTCTCTAATTCTGCCTTTCAATAAAATAAAATAAATATTTTTAAAAAGCAAATATGTTTAATATGCGTGATAGCAACAACATCTTAAAGAGTAATAATTTGCAAACTTTTCTCTCTTTTTTTTTCTTCATGTACACACACATTCTTTGTAAGGAGATTCTCTGGCACAGCTCAGGTCTGTGGTGTTTGCTATACTGAGCAAAGTGATGCGTGGGGATGTAAAACTGAAGGAAACAGGAGAGGGAGGTAAGTCATCCTACAGAGGGGAAAGACCAGAGGAGCGTGGAGACCTGGAGGACAGAGCAGGGGTGAGGGAGAGAAGGGAGTGGACAGGTGCCTAGGGTCAACAGTATGGGGAAACGGGAATCTGCATCAAGTGAAGGATTCCGAAAAGGGATGGTAGGGAAGATGGCTCAGCTTTGGGATGTAGTCCTCTTCATGCCCGCCAGCCCCCTGCTCAGAATCTTCAGCAAAGCCTTACTTTTTTACCGCTCTGGGAGTCGGACTCCTGTGTCGTGAGTGGCCACAATAATAGGCAAGGTAGATATCAATTTATTTAATCCTATGGTTGGGCCAAAGTCTTCATTAAAGTCTATTGAAGCTTATTATTTCCCACTCAAAGCATTATTCTTCTAAAACTGATTAAACAAAACATACCAGGGAAAAGCTTGCTTTTGTTGTCGGTCGCATTTTTCTCCAGCTTATTCTTTGTCTGAAGGGCAATCATCTCATCCAAGTTTTCTGGAGGGAGAGAAAGAAATGCAAGAGTCTTTCAGAGAGACAGTATCAAACAATCAAAACCTTCAAGCTCATCTGAATGGTCACAATAGCAATTCCAAAATATGAATACTGCTCACAGGAAGCTTGGGCCTGCAACATTACTTATAGGAGATAAAGAGTTAGGGCTAGTGTTAGGGTTAGGATGAAAAAGGGATGGAAGGCAAGCAATCGAGACAAGCTGCTTTTCATCTCGGTGGCCGCTGCTAGAACACGTGTGGGGTGGGGACCTAGGGCAGTGTGTACCTCTGTGGATATCTGCTTCGTCCCTTCCATTAATCTCATTTGACAAAAACCTAGGCTTACATCACACTCAGGGTTTTGTGGTTTCCTTTCTTCCTTCAGCTGAGTTTAGAGACACTGTTTCAGAAGGATAACTGGTTTGTACCATCACCGCAGGATGCAAAAATTCCCCACTTAGTCACCGATCTCGTGGAACTCGGTCAGAGTTGCCATGGAGGCTCAAATGCAAGACGGCTATTCCCGCCAGGACAGACAGCAGTGCTAGTCCACGGGGTGGCCACAGGAAAGTGCCACTGAAATGGAAAGTGGTGAAAATGAAATAAAATGTACATTCGCTTTCACAGTTCAAATGCTGTCACATGCAGCCAGTAGCTGCTCCGGGAAACGGTGCAGATGAACAAGCATCCATCAGCATCCATCACCACAGAGGTTCTGTCGGACAGGTTGGTGTGTGGGACCAAGATACTGGAAATCATCGAGGTACTCCATAAAAGAACCTTGAAGCTAAGTTATTCATTTATTCTTATGATAAACTACCTACAGGTAGTTTAAATGTTGGGTCTTTTTAAATGACTTACGTGATACACATATAGAATGATACATATATCAGCAGTTTAAAGGCTGTTTAGTGACAGGGGAAAATGTTTATGATAAAATATTGAATGCTTGAAGCCATTTAGAATGTCACTTCAAGTTTGGTGTTAAAAGTTATGGATCTATCACCTGCCTATCTATCTATATTGAGATGGAAAATTAGAGAGAAGGGTTGGCTTGGTGGCACAGTGAGCTAATCCTCCACCCTTGGCACTGGAATGCCACATGGATGCTGGTTCTCATCCCAGCTGTTCCACTTCTCATGCTGCTCCCTGCTTGTGGCCTAGGAAAGCTGCACAGGATTCCCAGTGCCTTAGGACCCTGTATCCATAAGGGAAACCTGGAAGAAACTCCTGGCTCCCAGTTTCGATTCATCTCAGCTCAGGCCTCTGTGGTCATTTGGGGAGTGAACCAGCAAATGGAACACCTTCTCTCCATCTCTCTCTCTGTAAAATCTACCTTTCAAATAAGAATAAGAAAATATAATAATAAAAAAAAGAAGGTTGGAGGAAAATATGCCAAAATATCTCAGGGCATAATAAGTATAAATTTTAAACATAATTATATAAACCAAAATGTTGCCAGGATGTTAATATTGTGAATGATGTTTATTTCCTTTTAAACTTCTTTTCCTATGGAATGACTTTTTAAAATAAATGCACACTTTTATAATGAGACAAAAAATAATAGAACTATCTCCATTTATAAAACAGCGGGGTTTCTACAGAGTTCTGGATTGCCCCATTCTAAGAAATTTCCTCTTGGGTTTGATTCTTCCTCCCTCGTCAGAATTGGGGGCCATGACGTTGTCTCACTCATAGTGCATCAGTGGTAGACTCAATCAAGCAGGAAGACAGAAGTCTTTTTAAAAAGAAAAAAAAAAAAAACAAGTGATGAGCACGTGGCAATGTGCAACTGAGGAGCCAGATTTTAGGATTTATTTACTTCTAATTCATTTTTCTAAATCTCTCCTACTTGCAAAGTACGAGTGCCTGAACTCATCTGTAAAGTTCAAGGAGTAGGGACTAGCAAACCTAGTCAGAGGGTTAATAAATATTTTTGGTTTTGCAGTCAACATCGTCTCCATTGCCAAGTACTGGGCTTCGTTGCTACAGTATGAAAGCAGCCACAGACAGCACTAAAATAAGCAGGCAGGGCTGAGTCCCAGCAGGGCTGTCTGCATGGGCACTGAAACATGGATTTTCTATAGGTTACACCTGTCATCAGATGCTGCCTATGCTTCTTGTGTTTGTTTTAGCCAAATGAATTCTTAAAGCCAGATGTACCTTGTGTGCTATATACAGGAATGGGTAAGGAGGGGCCAGGTGAGGCCCGAGAGCAGTGAACGGGTGAGCAGCCCTCCTCACGGTTCCCAGAAGCCTTCAGCGGACAGCTGCAGAGCCTGAGGCCCTGCTAGGTACATAACCTCCCATAGCTGGACAACTGCTCCATGGCAAGCTGGGGCAGGCCCAGCTCTGGCCACTGTGGCCACTTAGGGAGTGAACCAGTAGATGGAGGATCATTCTCTCCATAAATCTGCCTTTCTAATAAAAGTAAATAATTTTTAAAAAATAATACTCTTTAGTACCAGCATTCTATACACACTGGAATAAAACTACCTAGTCAGATTTTTAGAAACGTTTTTCCATAGAGATGATCAGAAAACACTAGATAGAATCTAATAACTGTGAAGTGGTTAAATTCAAGCAGAATATTTGAAGACAATGTTGCAAGATTCTGGTTAGTATGTGTTTTACTTGCAAACTTGTATGCATCATCAAGATGAGCAAATGTTACTTGGATGACTTCAGTTGTTTGGGCACAGTTAGTGACACAATTATCCCACAACCCTAATTACTTTACTTGGAGCAATGAAAAGTACCACAGTAAAAACAAAACAGAGGTGTCAGTGTGGTGGCTTAACAGGCTAATCTTCCACCTGCTAGCATCCCACAGGGGTGCTTTTTTGTGTCCAGCTGCTCCACTTCCAATCTAGCTCCCTGGTTACGACTGGGGATAGTAGCAGAGGATGGCTCAAGTCCTCAGGCTCCTGCACCCTCATGGGAGACCCGGATAAAACTCCTAGCTCTTGGTCTTGAATCAGCTCAGCTCCAGCTACTGCAGCCATTTGGGGAGTGAAATAGTGAACGGAAGATATCTTCTCCCCCTGCCTCTCTTCTCTCAGTAGATCTGCCTTTCAAATAAAAATAAATAAATCTTCAAAAAGAAGAAAGGAAGAGAGAGAGGAGAGAGGAGGAAGGAAGGAAAAGGAAAGGAAAGGAAAGGAAAGGAAAGGAAAGGAAAGGAAAGGAAAGGAAAGGAAAGGAGAGGAAAGGAAAGGAAAGGAAAGGAAAGGAAAGGAAAGGAAAGGAAAGGAAAGGAAAGGAAAGGAAAGGAAAGGAAAGGAAAGGAAAGCAGGGCTCTCACCAAGATAGGACACGCCCTCTTCCGGAGATATTGTGCCATATTTGACCATCATCTTCACAAAATCAATCAGTGTTTTCATGATAGTAATCAGTGTTTCTTTCTCTTTCGCCTCCTTTTCTATGAAAAAGGAGAAAATAATTTAAGGACGAATGGCAGAATACAGCTTCATCTTTCAATGCCCACATATGAAGTACAATATTTTAGTAAAATATTTCACCCAACATTTGTAGTTAAAATCACATATATTTTTTTAAAAAAAGCGGACATAAGGGGGCAATGTACAGCTACACTGAACTTCTCAGAAATGGGAGTTTGAAGCTTCTCCAACAAGTTTCATTGATGTGAAAATATTTCACTGATACAGTAGGTGGCAAGGAAGGTCTTCCAACCTGAGACTCTAAACCCAGAGCAAGGGTGGAAGATTGGCAGGCTGTACTGAGGGGAGGGAGGGAAGGAGCGAGGAGCCCTGGCTAATTCTCATACTAAGCGACATTCACAACTCAGAGTTGTGGGCTTTTTTCCCCCCTCAGAAACATACTTTTTTTTTAAAAAAAAAAATCAATAGATAAAAGTGTAGGTATTTCTTGTGTGTCACACAACACCTTAAAACACACAAGCATTGTGAAATTAACATCCACATCATCTGATATAATTATCATATGTGTGATGAGGACATTTAATTTAGCACCCACTCTCCTGTAACTGCCTGAGAAGGGGTTTGGAGAGGGGGCTGAGAGATGCTGATGAAAGAATACAGAATTACATTCCAGTGTTTACCTAGGAAGGAGATAATAGTTTGGTTTTCTATCCAGTTTATAATTTCTTAATCAGTTCCGACCCTAAGTCACAAAGACTATACTACCTAGGAAACACCCCAGCATATGAATCTGAATTAGAATTCTAGAGAAATAGTGGCAAAAATAAATTGGGTGAAAGAAACCTAAAGATAGAAATAAAAAGCATTTCATGTAGCGAGATTTTTAAAAACCATAAACATCCATCACAGGTTGGGAGGACGCAATAGTACAATTTATGATAGGAGCGGGAGAGCCTGGAAAAGATCTGGTAAATTAAAACTGCAGCCATCACATTAGCCGCTCAAGGTCGTGTTCATTTAATAAATATCTGGAACAGCCCGGATGCGCCTCACTGACGAATCAGTGATTCACAGGGATGACAGAGGATTCGAGCAGGGCATCTGCCAAGCGAGGGGTGAGAGGACTCAGCATGAGCCCTCGAGGGGGACTGGCCCTGCAGACAGCCGCAGAGGGCTGGCGCCATCTGGCCAAGGTCTGGACTCAAAGGACGAGGGATGTTCTACAGCAAAGAAAGTGCACCCGCTCCAAGGTCACTTGGAGATAACAGACTGTAGTTCCCAACCTCTTTATACAAAGGTCCCTTCGTGGAGCTGGATCTTTAACAAGGAGAAGAAAAGCCACCAAGGCAGTGCAAAGACCTGTCTGAACAGCAGCAGCAAGGGGAAGGTTGTACATTTCATGATTGTTCTCTTTGCAGACTAACCCCAAATTCACACAAACTGAAATCCTCACTTAGTTCAATGGATTTTGCTTACATATCACCCTGTCACTTTCTAGGTATGTTTTGGGCTCTGGGCCTCCTTTTGCCCAGTGTCCTTCACTGTAATTCATGTGAAGGTGGAAATCGAAAATATCTACAATGTGTTGAAAAATCTAAAAGGAATAAATCAGTTTGCACAGGTGGTTCCAACTAAGAGGGGAAAACATGAACAAAGTCTTTAAAGGTTTGCTGCAAATGGAAGGATTTGCTTCCTGTTTTTGCAACAATGTGGGTGACCCTAGATGACACTGTTCTAAGTGAAATAACACAGACACAAAAAGGAAAATATTGTGGAATATAAAATACTGCAAGGCATAGAAGCAGAGTGTAGAATAATGGTTGCTAAGGGTTGGGTGGAGAGGAACATGGGGAGATACCGGTCAAGGGTACAAGGTTGCACTTACATGAGATGAGGAGTTCTGAAGGATGCACAGCATTGCACCTGCATCTAACAGTCCTGTACCAGGACCAGGACCGAGGTACAGTGGGAGTGCAGGTGTGAATCGCAGCTGCCCTGCTTGCAATCCAGCTCCCTGCTAATGTATCTGGGTGGGCAGCAGAAGGTGACCCAAGTGCTTGGGCTTCTGCACCCACATAGGAAGCTCAGATGGAGCCCTGACTCCTGGCTTCAGCCTGGATCAGCCACAAGTATTGTGGCCACTTGGGGAGTAAACCAGTAAATGGGAGATATTTCTCTCTCTCTCAATCTCTCTCTCAATCTCTCTCTCTCTCTCTCTCTCTCTCTCTCTCTCTCTCTCTCTCTCTCTCTGTGACTCTGCCTTTCAAATAAATAAATGAATCTTTAGAAATTTAAAAACAATACTGTACTGCATACTTGGGATTTGCCAAGAGGATAGATCTCAAGTGTTGTTATGGCACATGCACACAAACATACAGAGATATACAAAGAAGGAAGAAACAAATAATTATATGTGATGCTACAGATGTGAATCAGCTTGTTTATAGCGATCATTTCACAATATCTACATATATCAAAACACCAAGTTGTATACTCAAATATGTACAACTTTTATTTGCCAATTATAGCTCAAAAACACTAAAACGAAAAGCAGGGGTTGTGGTAGAAGTTGAGGCTGGAAGTGGACAGAGCCTTGCGATTGACGCCCAAATTCCACACTGGAGTGCCTAGGTTTGGCTCTCGGTTTTGGCTCCTGCCTCCAGTTTCCTTCTGTGCAGGCCCTGGGAGGGAGCGGTGATAGCTTAAGGAACTGAATTCCTGCCACCCATGTGGGAGACCCGGATTGAGTACCTGGCCCTCAGCTCTGGTTTTGACCCAGCTATTAGTGGCGTTCAGGGACTAACAGATGGGAACTCATTCTCTAAGCCTCTAAAATAAATAAAATTGATTCATTTTCAAGCCCACACAGGTCTTCCCAGTACCTCATACATAGCAACAACAGATGTTCAGTATTTGTTGAATAAATAAATGAGCCCTCTGTTTACAAGAAGATGAAATTATCCAGTAATTCCACCTTTCCTGATTAGCCTCTCCAAAATATTTTCATTACTAGTATATTTGTTTTGAAAAATTTAAGTGACTGAGCTTTTTCCTAGCCTACACTGATATTGTGAAGGTCTGTCTTTGGAAACTGAAAACTGAAAAAAAGCCCACCCACATGTTTCCTAGAATGACTGTTTCCATGCCACATGGTGAGAAAGCAGAGTGCTAACCTGAATCAATACTTTTCAGTAGTGCATAGAAGTTGGGGAAATACTGGAGCTCCTCAAAGTTGTCTTCACTGTAGGCTTTAGTCCTTCTTTCCAAGCCATTCGTCAAGGTTAAGGTGTTAGATACCGTTTCATCATTTTCCCCATTAGTCAAATCATCTTGAACTGCTGCTATTGGAGTCTCCATCATCAAAAAACAAAAGATAAAACAAACAAACAGAAAAAGCATTTGTTAGAACTAGGGAGACTTCTGCCCCATTCTTTCTTTGATGGTGCCCTTGACTGTGAAACATGAGAACTCCTCCTGCTCCACAAGCTCCTGCAGGTTCAAACCCTTTCCTAGACATGTGTGACTTCAGTCATAAGGACAAATCACCAGGACTTTAAAAAGGTGCTGTGCTTGTGGGAAAAGCTGCTGAGAACTGGCTGCCACTTAGGAGAGCACAGACAGGGCATTCCTAGGTCCTGCTCGTTCAAATTTCCCTCTAGGAGTGCCCCAAAATCTCCCCTTCTGTCCTTCACTGTCCTTCACTGAGGAGGGGGAGTGCTGAGTTCCCAGCACCTGCCAAGAGGAATGGTGTCTGGCTACAAGAAAGCCTGTCGGGATGACTAACAGTAGCCCAGCAATCACACTGTGGAATTCCTGGGTAACATTATCAGGGCTGTCTGCACAAGTGCACAAGGCTACTCTTGTAGACCTGACATTTTTTAGGGCTCCCCATGTTAGTAAATATCTCTTCTCCATGCAGGGGACCAGACAGAACCTGAGAGCCATCCTTAACTCTTTTTCCTTTTCCATATCCAATCCACCTTTCAGGCTCTATTTCCAAATTTTACACTAAACGTGTACATTTCTCCCTTTATCCATTATTCCACTTAAGTACCAACAATCAGTGCACCTCACTGGTACCCCAACCACCTCCAATCTATTTCCAACACTGTATTTTCCACACTGTAACCAGATTTTTTTTTCAATAGTCTGATAGTGCCAATCCCTTTTTAAAACCTTTCTAGGCTTCCCGATGGTTCTTACAATGAAGATCAGTCTGCTCATTACTCGTAAGGCTCTTCGTGGCTACGACAGTCCAGAGAGTAAAAAAACAGCAACAGTAGGGCCCAGCACAATGGCCTAGTCCTTAAATTCTTGCCTTGCATGCACTGGGATCCCTTATGGGTGCAGATTCATGCCCAACAACTCCACTTCCCATCCAGCTCCTGCTTGTGGCCTGGGAAAGCAGTATAGTCCGAAGCCTTGGGACCCTGCACCCATGTGGGAGACCCAGAAGAAGCTCCCGGCTCTGGCTGTTGCAGCCACTTGGGGAGTGAACCAGCACACAGAGAAACTTTGTCTCTTCTCTCTATAAATCTGCCTTTTCAATAAAAAACTAAATAAATCTTAAAAGGGTGGGCACGGCAAAGTTAGATCTCCTGAAACATTCCAGGACATGTCCATAGGCTTGGGTTCTTGGAAAGACTTTGCATTCTCAGAAAGTCCAAGGAATGTGAGACTACTTATCCCAAGAAACTGTCCCATTCCAGGATGGGATTTTGCTTTCCTCCTATAGCTCATGCAGTAAGATGACTGTCCTAAATTGGTTTCTGTACCTGGAATTGGAAAGACCTATTTGCCTGGCTCTGTTGTATGCTACTAGGTAAGGAATGAAGCTCTTATTGATTGGATAATTTAAAGTGCCTGATGCTTAAACTGGGTATCTATGTTCCACACTACAGCTGACTGGATAATTTGTATTGTGTACTGATGTAAGCTTAGTTGATTGAATGATTTGTATCATGTACCAGTGCTCTCGTAGTTGATTGGACAATTGTTGCTTAAAAATCCCTGGACATGGCTCGTAGGGGCTGCTCCCCTTCCACTTGCAGTGATATGGGACAGTCCACTGGCCAGTTAATAAAGACTCCTGAGCTTCCAAGGGTCTGCCGCCAACTCATTTCTGGGATAGATCTGATCACCTTGCAACAATGGCCTGGCCTGGGTCCACCTTGCAGCCTCTTCTCCACATGTTCTCCTTTTGAGCCAGCCAAATTGTGCTTGTGCTAGTTGCTTGTATTCTGCATTTTACCTTCTCTGCCCGCTGCCTCTGGGGCTCACAGTCTTACTCCTATTGGATGTTTAGTTCTCAGCTCAAGTGACTTCCTCAAGGCAGCCTTAACCAAGGCCAAGTCCAGGACAAGTTCCTGTATTTATGTGACCCCCCAGAACAACATTTCTTTCCTCAGAGCACTTAATGCAGTTGTAATTCAAATACATGGTTATTCAAAAACCAGCTGTCTCATCCACTAGATTTTAACCTTCTTGGGAGCAAGAATTGTAACTTTTTAAATGAGCACAGTATTCTCCATGCTTGGTACATAGCTGATACTCATTAAATATTTGTAGAAGGAATATTTGATTCTCATTGGTGCATTTAGATAATGTGAATGAATACTTCAAGTATATGAACATTTTATAGACAGGAGAGTAAGGAGTATGAAATGGGATAAAGGATCATAAGAACAGCCATCTGAGTTTCAGTTCTGACCAGTAGGCATAAGTAAAAACCACTTTTATCAACCTAAAAAGATTTTTCTAGTGGGTGGATCTTCAAAAGCTACTTTAAAAGACACCAGCAAGTGGAAATTCGAAGTAAGGAAAAAAAAAGATTTTTAAGCTTTCCAGTAAAAACAACTCAGACCCAGTTTCTGCTTGCTTGTCTCTCTGAAACAGACCCATTAACCAATACATTCTTTACTTGTATTTGAGATAGAATGTTGGAGATGATGGGCCATGGAGTTAGGTGCTCTGGTGAAGAAAGTCAAAGGCAGAATGAGGAGATTAGCTTTATCTAGCATTTTAAAGAGAAGTCAGGGAGAGGTAAAAGATCTCAGTATTTTGGTTGAAGTCAAGGAAATGGCAGAGGCAAGGGGAGGGAAGGATGTGTGACATGTCAGGGTAAAAGCTGGCAGACAGGCCTCGGAGATCCTGGAATGGGAAAGCAGCAGGTGGAAGAGCACAGCCTGGAACAGGGAGCAGCATTAGGCTGAAAGACGTGGGCAACACCAAAGCGGGTGTGACACAGCATCCAGTCTACCTGCTTCCTGTTTCAGGGGCTGGGAGCAGTTGATAACACTTATAATCAAGGGTCAAATACCAATGGAGCTGAGAGGTGCTTGGTGACACTGCAGTAGGTCTGTACAAATTGTTACTGTGTGATGCTGGGATTTCTCATGATATCCTGAGCTATTTTACTGAGTAGCATTGCATAAGATATAACCTTTACATACATTATAGCATGTAATCTTTAAGTTACCTTCAAATAGAATTCATTTAAATTATTTATTGGAACTTTATGAATATGTATTTTAAGTGGGCTAAAAATGCTATCTACCTCATACCATCTTTGGCATAAAATAAAAATAGATACAAGTGCCCACAGTGGGACAACCAAAGCACATATACACGCACGTATACATATCACACACACACACACATACCACTTTCTCCGATATTTTTCCAGCCTCATTCTCAGTTCTGCTTGTGGGTTTATTGAGCTCCTGCTCATAACTATTGGCTTCCTTTGAAATTAATTGCTGCAAAGCCTCTGCCACTTCATCTTCCAATGTGTGGGCCTGGCTTTCTGTGATCTGGTATAAAGAAGCAAAAACAGATATAATCACCATAGTCATTTTTGACATTTTAAAAATACATTTTAAAAAATATATTGTTGTAAAAACTGTTGTAGGGGCCTGGTACAATGGTCTAGTGGGTAAATCCTCACTAACCACTTGCCAGGATCCCATATGGGTGCTAGTTCGTGTCCTGCCTGCTCTACTTCCCATCCAGTTCCATGCTGTGGCCTGGAAAAGGAGTAGAGGGCGGCTCAGGGCCTTGGGACCCTGCATCCATGTAGGAGACCCAGACACAGCTTCTGGCTCCTGGCTTCAGATCAGCTCAGCTTCAGCTGCTGCAGCCACTTGGGGTATGAACCAGTGGGCAGAAGATCTTTCTGTCTCTCCTTCTCTCTATAAATCTGCCTTTCCAATAAAAATAAATCTTACAAGAAATACTGTAGTTGAACATACCCATTTATAAGCAGGGTTTTCGGAACCCTCTGTTTTTAAAGATTTATTTATTTTTCTAGGAAAGGCAGATCTACAGAGAGAAGCAGAGACAGAAAGAAAGATCTTCCATCCACTGGTTCACTCCTCAAATGGCTGCAATGACTGGAGCTGTGCTGATCTGAAGTCAGGAGCCAGGAGCTTCCTCCGGGTTTTCCATGCAGTTGCAGGGTCCCAAGGCTTTGGGCCATCCTCAACTGCTTTCCCAGGCCACAAGCAGGGAGCAGCTGGGACATAAACCAGTGCCCATACAGGATGCTGGCACTTGCAGGTGGAGAATGGGCATGCTGTATCATCATGTCAGTCCCCTTCTGAATCCTTCTCCAGGACTACCTTCTCTGCACTTCTCTTACATGCTTCTGTTGAATTGCAATTGACTGTTGGGGTAGGTTGGGAGTGGGGGGACCATATGATGGCCCAATTGGCTAATCCTCTGCCTGTAAGTGCCAGCATTCCACGTAGGTGCCAGACCCATCATGCAGGCTGTCAGTTCTGTCTGCCGAAGCCCATGGTACACTTATTCTGCAGAATATCTGAAGAGATGCTCATCAATACCTGCAGCTCATAATTGGGCAGCTTATAAACGGATGTATTCAACTACAGTATTTTTTGTAAGATTTATTTTTATTGGAAAATAAATTTATTGTGAAGCCTGTGAAGCTAGCACCTCACTAAAGCCTACAGGACTGTGTCAAGGTGAGGAGCCAAGCCAGGGAGAGCTCAACCTGCATTGCTTGGACATATCACACATCCTGCCTGGTCCTCCACTGGTCACATCCCAGCTCTCCTTCTAAGTTCACATCCAATACCTCGTGCTCTACAGTTCTTCCTTGCAGTCAGTTGAATCTAAACCACTCTCCAGCATGCCAAATTGCTCTTCCGGCTCCTAAGCAGCTGGCATTAAAAGGTGTGAGTGCCCCTGTCTACTTCTCCAGAAAGACCATGAACTCCTGGAGGGAAAGAACGGTGCCTTGTACAATGCTGTCTGGCAGACTCCAAAGTTTCTGAACAACTTGTTTTACTCTCACACACAACTTACAAGGCCAAGATTGAGTAGTTTGGAAACAATCTTGTCAAACACTCCTCTGTCATTTTCCTCATAAATCCTGGTGGCGATTTTGTGGACAATGTCTTCGGCAGTTAAAGGGGTGCCGTCCAGTTGATGAAGGCCATCTGGATCGTCTTTGTCTAGACAAAGCAAGCACAATTTCACATCACAGCAGTCACAGACCTACTCCAGCATCACACGATATATATAACCTATACTTTGATATTGTACACTTAGATCTTTGAGACATACTATGATGGTTTTTGGCTTACACGGGCTTTTGGCTTGAAATAAAATGACATCAGTTGAGAGCCTAGGATAATAATAGAAATTGTGAAGCCGTATAAGATCATAAGAACTGAATACAACAAAAAATTCTCTCCATTTATCACTGTCACTAGTAATATAAACATTATACTTTAATTCACATTGCATGCCATATGGGATATATATATACATGTATATATGCATCATGCCATAATATTCAAATCCCACTGGCTTTTAATATTTATTTTTTACTGGAAAGGCATATTTATAGAGAGAAGGAGACACAGAGAAAAAGATCTTGCATCAGTTGGCTCACTCCCCATATGGCTGCAACAGCCAAAGGTGAGCTGATCTGAAGCAAGGAACCAGGAGCTTCTTCCAAGTTTCCCATGTGGGTGCAGAGGTTTTTGGGTCATCCTCCACTACTTTCTCAGACCATAAGCATGGAGTTGGATGAGAAATAGAGCAGCCAAGACACGAATCTGTGCCCATATGGGATCTTAGCACTTGCAAGGGAGGATTAGCCAATTGAGCCTTTGCACTGCATCTTCAAATTCCACTTCTACAGAACATATAATTTGATATTTTATGGGCAAACTTGCAGTAGATTAGCAACATCCTAGGGTGGTACCATGGTGTAGTAGGTTAAGCCTCTCCCTCAGGTGCCAGCATCCTATATGGGCACAAGCAGAGAATGGCCTAGGTGCTTGGGACCCTGCATTTGTATGGGAGTCTCAGAAGAAGCTCATGGCTTCTGGCTTCAGATTGGCCCAGCTCTGGCCATTGCAGCTATTTGGGGAATGAGCTAGTGGATGGAAGATTTTTCTCTCTGTCTGTCCTCTCAGTAAATTTGTCTTTCCAATCAAAACAAATAAATCTTTTAAGAGAAGAAGAGGAAGAAGGAGAATGGCAATGTGTCTTATATCTAGCATTAGACTGCACTAAAAATGTTATGACTTATCTGGAACAAATATTTATTTTTTAATTTGAAATGCATATTCTTACAGAGAAAGAAGGGAAGACAAAGAAAGAGGTCTTCATTCCCTAAATGGCAGTAATGGCCAAAGCTAAGCTGATCTGAAGCTGAAAGGAAGGAACTTCTTGGCCTCCCCAGTGGGTGCTCAAGCCCAAGGCCTTTGTCCATCCTCCAGTGCTTTCCCACGCGTTAAACAGAGAGCTGAATCCCAAGTGGAGCATTTGGGACACAAATCGGTCCCCAGATGGGATCCTGGTGCTTGCAGGTGGAGGATTAGCTTATTATGTCATTGTGCTGACCCTTAATGTAAAGCAGCTTAATATAATAAAACCCTATTCTCCAGAGAACAAGGAACTTAATCTTATGTACCTGAAATTTAAACTTCCAAAATGTGGTAAGAAGTCTGCAGAAAGAAGCATGCACATCTTTGCAAGAGCGGCATGCAAGTAGGTACTCTTGGCTTTCTTAGGAATACATTTGGCCATGACTTCAGACCAAAGGTACACCTTGAGGCCAAGGGTGAGCTGCAAGGAAACATTCCCCTACATGCGCAACAAATGCCAGGTATCTATACACCTTCCCCCATCTCTTCCACATGGAACAGATCAAATCCACAAGGCACTTAACTCTGTCACCTCAGGGCAGGATGGATTTGCATTTTGAAATAAAGCACAATTATCTTCTAGAGAACTTGGTCATTGAATCCCTAGCCAGAAGTTGTTAACGTAATCCTCATCACATTCGTTCCAATATTCTTTTCCAAAGCTGCACTTTCCTTTCATGCCTTCTGAATTCTTAAGATTTCTTAAAAGAATCTTAAAGAATTTCTCCTGTGGTCTTTTTTCCATTATCTGTGGAGATGAGGCCTATGCAAGCTCGACATACACAGAATAGCTCTCTCTTGGCGTTTGGACAAAGCTTAAGAAAATGGGGACAGTGACTGGCCACACAGGACTGGAAGTTCTCTCTGTCAACACATAATTCCTGAGCTGTTGGGCTGGGAACGCTCTAAGCCCTGAGTCCCAGAGTAGGAGAAGAAAAAAAAAAAACCTACATAACATCAGCTCCCCTCCAGGACAGGCAAACCTCAGGCTCATTACCCACTTAGCAGCAGTGACTCTCCGTCATTGGGTCGGGTTTTTCAGTTGACAAGTCCCAAGCCACACTCTTGGGAGCATGTGGAATAGAAATGGCCCCGCCTATGCAGAGCCGGAAGCATTTACTTCCCTTCCCACTTACCACTCAGGACCTGAAAAAGGACTCATACTGGTTGCCTGCCAGAGCTGGAAAATAACTGAAATGACTGTGTTGGCTCAGGGTCGGATACATAGCAATTACACAATAAATGTCTATCAGGCAAATACTCACAAGAGCTCTCAAGTGTTTGTAAAACATAAACATCCTGAATCACATATGCATATTGTAGAACACACTGATTGGTGGCTCTTGGGAGTTTTCTGACCAGCAGGCCCCTATGACTACCGACTACCAAGGCAATGTAGCAGTGGCAGTGTCCCTTAGCACCTACCCCCGCAGACAGCCTGACTGAGCATGTCCATTTATTGTAAAGCACACACACTTATATAGGCAAAGAAAAAGGGGGAAGACAGAGGGGCATTGCCTGACAGCCCTCCCGCCCAACAGGCACTGTAATTGGCTAGAAAGCATATCTATCTCTCTGTACCGTCCAATCATGTCATAGGTCACATACAGCACTTATGGCTGACAGGCTGTGAGTCACATATACCAGATAGTCTGGCAGGTAACAAAAACCGCACCTGACTTCTCAGAGCTGCTTATTAAGGAAGTTCCAAGACAAACTACCCAAGGACAGAGAAGACAGGCTGGGGTGCAAATCACCACCCTTGCCTGTATGGTCAGTGATCAGGCCAGTTTGAGGTCTCAGTGAGCCAAGACCATTGTCAAGGGGATTCCCCCACAGACATGGTGTGCCATGAGCCTATGACCTGCCATATAGGCCAAACAGGCAGAGATCCAGGGGCAATCTTCCACAGGTGGTCCCAACAGCACAAGCTTTTTGAAGGTTTGTGAAAGCAAGATCCAGTCTGGGAATGCACCTAAGGAAATTGGCCTTTGTCACCCTCTCATCTGGGATGGTTTTCCTGCCTCTGAAGCTGTTTACCCTGATGGTCCCAAATCCTCTGGTTCCACGATTGCTAGGGTCAGCAGGAAGAGCAGAAGTTCACCCATTTATCATTCTCTCCAAGGACCATGACCCAGCTTCACGTTGCTGAACTTAGTGATCAGATCCCAAACAGATCTATCTGCACATAGTTTGATCAGTGCAATCAAAACATTATACTCTTAAAATGTATTAAATCAAATGCTCAGTTCCATCCAAACACTTGAATCTGTTTAGTATGCAGTTCTGCTTAGTGTCTATTTCAGCCCAAATGTTTTAGGTTAAAAGTAGAACTCAAGTTTGTTTTTTGTTTGAATCTGTTTTGTTTTGTTTTACACTTGATCTTAGCCAAAAGGCCGAGAAGCGATTGTTGTTTTGTTTTTTGGTTTTTTTTAATTGCCTAGAGTAGCCAGGAGTAGGATATGTGTCAAAATACAAAAAAGCATTGCACCCTTACTCCGCCTCATAAATACGCAACAGTCTCTTGAACTCTCCCTGGGCTACAGTGGCCTCTGAAAGTCTGCTTTAATTGGCAGAGAGAATCAGCAGGGTTGTCTTGTTGCCATGAGACAGAAAAGAGACATAGAAAAAAGCCTGTACCCGCTCATAAGCCCTGGTCTGCAGAATGGAAAACACACTCTCTTCCTCAATAGCTGGGTACAACAATTCATTTATTCTCTCATGTATCCTTTAACTTGTACACCGATTCATTCATAAGTTCATTCAATGAACATAAGCATTCAGGCCTTGTAGCTCCAAGGTCTCCATTCTTGTAACATTTTCAGTTTAATTTTGGAGGAAGACATTAATCATACAGTCACACTTATGAACATTAAGTTACACACTGTATTAAGTCCCCTGAAGGAAAGAAAGAGGTTCTAATAGGTCATATGTACTAGATGAATCCAGAAATACAGACAGGAACCACGCCATGCAAGGCCATGGAAACTATACTAAGGATTTTTTTCTCCCAAGAATTTGATTTTATACAAAGTACAGAATCTACTAGAGTTCTCTTAACTAATAATGAGAAGCCCAAGTTAGAGAAAAGACATAGCAAAATTACTTCCATTCTCATTTACCTTGAAATTTCTGGTCCAATCCACTCTTAGTAGAATCATAATCATCAATCAGTCTTCGATTCTTGGTTGAATCAACATCTTCCACATTCAGTTTATTATCAAGTGGGGAACTTCTTATGGATTGCCTTTCCTGCTCATCTTTTCCCTTTTCCGTTATTGCTTTTAGTAGGTTCAAATTATCGACAAAAGAATAATTGCTTTCACCTGGCTTGTTTTCTAGAAGAAAAGCCCCAAGTCCAACACAGCCATTTTAGTTAAGATTCTCACCACCTACATTGTTGAAATTAATATCAATGTGATTTCTTATTACCTGGGGGGGTTGTTTTCATCATCTTGTCTGCTTCTGCTTCAGCAATCTGTGAAATAAAGAGGACCTGGCTTTAAGTAATTGTTCCACTATTTACCAAATATGTGAACCGAATGTTTTCATCTTCGTAATTTTAGCTTTCTTGTTTGTAAAAATAGATTTCTATCTCAAGCATTATTAAAAATGAGTAAATAAGATAAAGAGCAGATGTTCTGTAAGTATGAATTTCTTCTATAATATTGGTCAATAATAACTGGTAAATTAAGCAATCTTACAGTAGAGTGGATGTGGTGTTGAGTTTACTGGAATACTGAAGACTCAGCTCTATGTTTTATACAGTACTTGGAGTACTTGGTTTGTATAAGTGTTGGACACAGAAATAACGAAAACTGGATTTCTCACAATCATTTTTATCAACTCATTGCTACAGCATAATTATATCAAATAGTAATAACTAAAGCACAATGAAATAGCATTAAAAACTTTGCTTTTGACATACCTGTTCATTCAAAGGTCTTTCTGCACTTAATTCTCTATTATGTAAAGATTTGTCTAGAATAAACACACACAAGTAAATATTTCATAGTGCGTTGAAAAGACAAAATAAATCTCTTGGAAAATCTTCAAAAAGAAGGAACACATATTAGGAGAATGTTTTTTTCATGAATCAAAGTTTATATTAACATCAATGATCAAGATTATACAACAATTATAATTATCAGTTACCAATGTTGCCTTGCTTATTATCATTTTCTGATTTAACATAATCACACTTCTTTTCTGGCCAGAAATCTAACTACAGTTCTAGCACTTGGCTTATCAGCCATTCCCAACTACAGGAAGAGCATAATTTGGTGTGATATTATTGGCACTATAAGGACTCTGACATCATCTTCTGCACATGTTATGAATAGAATATCTAAAAAAGAGTGTAAGGCAACTAGAGAAAAAAAATGCAAGACTCTTTAGATGGAAAAGATATTTTAAAATAACCCATGTTATCCCTCTATCATTTGAAAAGTAACAGAAAAAACTCGTCTTCTGTCTCTAAATTAAAACTGATTTTTCTGTCAATATGCATGAGTATAATTTGACCAGAAAATGAGGCAAGTCGATTTACAGCCAAACTCTCCCTTCCGCGGCGAAATAACAGGGATCTGGGTAGAAGGAAAGTGTCCACGTACCTTGGCCGCCTCCCGGTTTGGGGAAAGCCTGAATCGGGCTGCTGTGGAGCACCAACATCAGAATCCAAGTGCCGGTCCAAAAGAACTCCATTCTCCCACGCTCGGTTTCAGACGCTGCCAGGCTCCCGGAGCTGCAGCTTTTGTTATGAATGAAAAGGAGGAGTAAAAAAAAAAAATAGGAAGAGGCAGGAGGGCAGGAGGGCAGGAGCGCGGGGGCGGGCAGCGAGCGAGCGTGCCGGCCAATGGACTTGGGCGCGGCAGCCGAGGGACGGGACCAGGAGGGCCCGCGGGACGCTCGGAGCCCGGCCGGCAGGTGCAACCGAGCGCTGTCCGCCCCGTGGGTGCTGAAGTTCCTGTGACGCGCAGCTCTACTCTCGCTAGGGCAGGAGGGAAGCGCATGCTCCGTGAGAGCCAGAGGCGGGACGGGATGGCGTCAGCGACTCCCGGGCTGCTCCGAGTCCCTGGGAAGGGACAGGGGAGGGGCGACGGGCCCTACTGCCGCAGTCCTGGGGTTGCTGCTGCGCCCAGGCTTTCATGCGTAAACCGGACATCATTGCCGTAACCTAGGCTGTGACCTTTCCCGCAAGGACCCAATATCTTTTCGGCCCTGTACACCTGTGCGAGAGTTAGTTAACCTTGTACAAAGAGTTCTGCTTTGGGATTCCTCTTCTGCTATATTTGCTTCGGAATCCGTTTTTGTCACCCCACCTCTTATCCTCAAAGGTAGACATGATTCTGTTATCGCTGGAAAGGTCCTACATTCTGTGATTTGATCAAGTATCCCTTGATGCTCTCACAGAGTCTCATCTTTTCAGAATCATTTGATTCAAATAATTTTTTTTTTCAATTAGAAGGCTGCAACACACACACTGTTCCCCTACTGATGCTGAAACACAACAAAAAGTCATTTTAAGAATTCGTATCCTTATCAGCCCTGAGTAGAAGACCAGCCATGGTTGGCTTCACTGTGAGATGGTCCTTTTCCCACAAAGCAAAAAACTTCCTTACACACACACTGCACTTCACTTGTACCTAAGGACCCAACAGTTCCTCGGACTATTCAAGAGATGGAATAGTCAAGAAAAACATTTTTTAAAAAATCAAAACTAAGAAACACTTCCTATATTCTAAGAGTATTCCCGGAGATCTAATGTTATTGAGTAGAAAGAGCTATCAAAAGACTTAAGTTACCAAGACAAAAAAGCACTAATGTGAGCAGGGTGCTGAGTGAGCACTTCTGTCTGATTTTCAAACAGAACTTGGAGCCTTTCCTCTGGACTGCTGCATGCCGGGAAGCAGTGTGAAGAATGACCAGCACAATCAGTCCTTTGATTCTACAGCCTCGCTTTTCAAGGAGCGAGTGAGCCATTCAACCCCCTCAAAACAAACAAACAACCAGGCCGACAAACGCAACTGCCTGCTTCTGGAGGTTTTGGCATTTGGAATCTAAAGAGTACTTCTAAATCTAATAGCTACTTCACAACAAATAGCTCTTCCCTGGCAATGATAATGTAACTTTATCAACCTAGTAAACTGCATTTAAAAAAATTAATTCATCTTTGGGCTTTGCTCGGTAGCCTAGCAGCTGAAGTCCTCGCCTTATACATGCTAGGATCCTATATGGGTCCAGGCTGCACCACTTCCCACCCAGCTCCCTGCTTGTGGCCTGGGAAAGCAGTCGAGCAAGGCCCAAAGCCTTGGGTTCCTGCACCTGTGTGGGAGACCAAGAAGAAGCTCCTGGCTCCTGGCTTTGGATCAGCTGAACTCTGGCCATGGTGGCCCCTTGAGGAGTGAATCAGCAGACAGATCTTTCTCTCTGTCCTCTTCTCTTTGGGTCTTTAAAATAGAGATGGCATACTCTGTGCAGATCAAAAGAGTACTTGCTTTAAACAAATTATTGTGGTGTTAAGTGCATTCTGACAGAGCCTTTTAAAAAGTCATGAAATTCATTCGATCTTGAAGAAACATTTCCCAATTTTAAGTGAACTAATCATTCAGTGATTCCAGGATTCACTCACCGACCTACTCCTTCAGCCTCACTTCTTATTTTTCCCATTTGAACTCAACCCTCTCAGAGTTTGTTTGTAATTGGGAGAAACTCAGGGTGGAATGAAGGTATGCAATGGCTAATGGGTAGACTGCATTGCTTGGCTAAAGCAAAAAGCAGTTACCTCTTTTTCTATCATTTGGACTCAAAGTGATCGTGCTGAATGAACACTAAATCTCAGAACAACTTATATTTCTGATCAAAAGAATTACAGAGCACTAGTAAGTTGTAAGCCATAAATTATAGACATTCTTAAGCCTTAGGGATGATTCTACCAGACTCACTGTAGGTCTGAATAGGGTGATTTTGGGTTTCTGTAACTTATATATTCACTTGGCAGATGTGTATGGAACACTTAAAATGCACCAGGAATTGAGATGGTTGCTGAATACAAAGATATATATATCTTGCTTGTAAGATCAAATACATACTCTTGTTGAAAATTTAAGGAATTCAGTACTGCTTTATGAACAAGGAAGAAATGGAACAATGCAATCTATATAATTTCTATCTACATGCTTGCAAGGGAAAAAATCTCAACTGAATTTGACCTGTGGTAATGCAACAAAATGGAAGAATCCACCATGGGGCGGGGAGCGGGTTTTGGGGAGGGGAGGGGGGAATCCCAGTGCCTGTAAAACTGTGTCACATGATGCAATGTAATCAATAAAAAAATAATAATAATTTCTATCAACAGTGTTTCCTATTTCATGGTAATTAGCCATTTTTAAGGATGTGAGGATGCATTGTGGTAAGGTCAGTGGTGGAGAAATCCAAACCTGGTGAGAGGGAATTTGCTCATTGGTGATGCTCTGTTACTACCGGGTGCCATTTTCAACCATTTCTCACAGCACAGTGTCATTCTGCGTGTGACCTTTAAGCTGTGATCTTTTTAGAAGGAGGGACTGATTAAGATTCACCTAATTTAGCTCAGTGCCTAGTCACATATATGTCTCCCTTCAAGCATTTATCACTTCTTTATGGTGAAAATATTGAAATTCATTTCTTCTAAGGTCTTAAAAAAGATGTGTAATAAATTAGCATTATCTATAGTGTTTCTACTGTGAACTAAAATTCCAGAACTTGTTTACCCTATCTAACCACAACTTAGTACCCCTTAACAAAGCTTTTTAAAAGAGCCACCATCTTTTTGAAATCTTTCCATTCCATTATTTGGACTCCACCTGAACTTTGCACATACAAAGGGAATCAGAAACATATTCTCATGCTTACTTGCTCATTTATATTCAAATGAAAGCAGTGTACTGCACATGGAATTTATTCACTAAATCACTCTTGCTGTTACAGTCACAGTCTTTTTTTTTTTTTTGCTATTAAGTAGTTGAATAGAATGTTTCTTTTCTTTTTTTATGCATTTATTAAACAGAGACACACATACACAGAGGAGCGCATCTGGGTTTCATTCCCTGAATGTCTGTAATGGGCCTGGAAGTCAGGACCAGGAAACGGGAACTCAATCCAAGACTTCCACATGTCAGGCAGGAATCCAACCCCTGTGGTCATTACCAGCTGCCTCCCAGGGTCTGTATCAGTAGACAGCTGGAAACCAGAAGCCTCTTGTGTGTGCAGGGGTCCAAGGCCTTGGGCCATCCTCTGCTGCTTTTCCAGGAGCATTAGCAGGAAGTTGGATTGGAAGTGAAGCAGCTGGGACTCAAATAAAACAGATGTTGGCACTGCAGGTGGCAGCTTAACCGATTTCTTTATTTCCTTCTCTCTCTCTTTAAAAAAAGTGTTTATTTATTTATTTATTATTTTTTTGGAAAGCCAGATTTACAGAGAAAATAAGCAGAGAGAAAGATCTTCCTCCATTGATCGACTCACCAAGTGGTCACAATGGGCCAGAGCTAAGCTGATTTAAAGCCAGAAGCCAGGAGCTTCTTCCAGGTCTCCCACGCGGGTGCACGGTCCCTTGGCCTTGGCCATCCTTAACTGCTTCCCCAGGCCACAAGCAGGGAGCTGGATGGGAAGCGGAGTAGCCGAGATATAAACTGGCACCCATATGGGATCCTGGCACAGGCAAAGCAAGGATGTAGCCCTTGGGCCATTGCATCGGGTCCAGCTTAACCCATTTCTTCCACAAAGGCAACCCCTAGGGAATATTCTTGAATTCGCACTTCAGGAATGGAAGAAATAGGAAGGAAGCAGAATTTGACAAAAGAGAAATCAGACTTCAAAACAGTATCAATGGGGCCCGGCGCGGTGGCGCAGTGGTTAAGGTCCTCGCCTTGCACACACCCGGGATCCCATATGGGTACCGGTTCTAATCCTGGCAGCCCCGCTTCCCTTCCAGCTCCCTGCCTGTGGCCCGGGAAAGCAGTCAAGGATGGCCCAAAGCTTTGGGACCTTGCACCCGCGTGGGAGACCCGGAAGAGGCTCCTGGCTTCGGACAGACATAGCATCGGCCGTTGCGCTCACTTGGGTAGTGAATCATCGGACGGAAGATCGTCCTCTCTGTCTCTCCTCTCTGTATATCTGCCTTTCCAATAAAAATAAAATAAATCTTTAAAAAAAAATCAATGGATGTCTCCGTCACCTGTACAAGGAATTAAAAAGATGAGAGGACCCTTTAGAACTGCCCTGAGCTGCAGTGAGAGGAAGGGCTAGGTCTTTATATTCTCCAGGGACAAGAGCATTGGGTATAGACCTTCCCAGGACGAGGTAAGTCATGACGTTGGGTGTGATGATTGTTTCAGCAGCTGTAGGAGTAAGTCATTGAGTTCTAAAGGGGGATCAACGGATGTATTATTCACCACTCAAACTCTGCCCCCTATTTAAAGTTGCATTCTAGGATGGGCATTTGGCCTAACAGATGCCGGTTAAGACTTCTGCATTCCTTATTAGAGTGCCTGGGTTTGACACTCTGCTCTGGATCTTGACTCCAGCTTCCTATTAATGTAGACCTCAGAAAGCAGCAGTGATGGCTTAAGTGATAGGATTGCTGCAATCCATCTGGGAGACTTGGATTGTTTCCCAACTATCATCCTATCCAGCCCCAGCCGCTGTGGATATCTAGGGAGTGATTTACTGGATGGGGAACTCTCTTTCATTCTTTGTGTCTCTCTGCCTCTGTGTGTGTG